AAGCCCCTTTGGGACAAAGGCTGGGTGATTAAAGGAGACCACGAAGGCCAAGCAAAGCCCTGGCAGAGGTGTCCCTTAAGGACAGAAAGCTTCTCTTTCAGCCTGCCATCCTCTTTGGGAACACGCTGCTCTTGAAAGTAATGACTGCCATGGATCATTAGGGCATCTGCAAAGAGAAGTAAGTTCTCGTAAATTGCTTTCATAAACCTAAGTAAACTATCTCCAGGCAGCAGAGCAGCAAAAAAAGACAGAGGGCAAGTGATTGATTGCCCTGAAGCCACCGTACTTCTATCCCAAAAAGGGAAGTTGGAAGGAAGAGATTGTGTAGAATAGGTGATAAATGAGCTGGACACCCTTTCCCTGGCCTCTGAAGATATTTCTCCCAGAGCACATATTCCAGAGCAGGATTTTGGAATCTTGGCAGCTTGAAGATGAGTGGACATCAACTCCCAGAATTCCTCAGCCAGCTGTCCACCCATCTTCAAGCTGGCAAAGTCCAGAAACACTGGAGTTATCCAACCGCCATTGAGCCAAAAAAAGCACAATATAGAGACAGATGTAGCATTGCCTAAAGATCTTATAAGTTGGGGTGGGCTACAATCTTTGATTAACTGGGTTCCCCTCCTTTTTTATGGGACCACCCCTGAGTTATAGAGCTACTGGTTATAGATCCACTTTTTTTTTAATAGGTCAATTTGTAAGAAGCAGTCAAATTCCCTTCTCTGCATAAAAGCTAAGCCTCTCCAGAAAAAAAATAATAATAGAATACTGAAAATTCAGATTGAGTCAGATGCTGTTTTATTCCAGAAGTCTTTTTTTTTTTTTTTTTGAGAAAGAGGGATTATGAGGATGGCATTTTCCTATAATTGTTTATTGCATGTTGCAGATTTAGTTTTATGGCATGCTTGTGTTTGTTTGCACATTTGTGTTCCCTTTTTGGAAAGAACCCCCCGCCCGAGTAATCACTAAAACAGTGGTTCTCAACCTTTTTAATGCCGCGACCCCCCAACCGGTCATAAGTCAAGGACTACTCAACCGGTCGTAAGTCGAGGACTACTCAACTGGTGCAGCACCGTTTGCAGAATGGGACTTTTGGCGGGCTCAGCAGCAGGGCAGAGGCAGCCTGGACAATTCCTATTGGCTTTTGAAAGCCAATAGAATTAGACTCTATTCAAGAGAGTCTCTTCTATTGGCTTTCAAAAGCCAATAGAATAAAAGGGAGTAGCACAGCTAAGGAAAAGGGGGGGGGGAATGGCAGACTGCGTTGTTTGGCGACCCCCGTGAAATGGTCGTTCGACCCCAAATGGGGTCCCGACCCACAGGTTGAGAACCACTGCACTAAAACAATCAGAAAATGTTTTGTTTGGGATTCTGGGAATTAAAGTACGATTTGCAATCAGATGCAGATTGATTTTAGCAGCTACAAAAGGAAACAGGTGGGTCAATTCATCCTCTCGAACAGAGGATTGCATCTGGGCCAAGATGGGCCTAAACACAGAGAATCAGCTGTTACCTCTGCTTACTGCCCTTCAGGGCCAATGGCTCTCTCGAGGGCTGGCCTTGAACAAAGCCCCAGTACCTCTGCTCTGGTGCGTTTATGGGTCCACCTTGGGACAACCGAAATAACGTTGGCAATGTTCCTGCGCTTGTCTGAAGACCCCAGGGGAGCAATCAAGGTCATTTATGACTCTGCTCCTTGGGAAGGTCCGATCCAGAAACCAGGCGGTGATTTCTTTCTGCCTTCAGGGTTGAATGAGGGTTGGGACCATCAGAGACCAAGCAGGAACAGGCTCTTCCTTTCAATAGGTTCTCCTCTTTTCGGCCAATGGTTGGAGAAAGGAGATGGGTGTCTTGGCCAGGGTTGGGAGGTGGGGGGGGGGCGGAGAGAATCCCTGATGACATTTGGTGTGACCTTTCGGAAGAAGAAGAAGGTGAAGAGGACAGAATTCCCCATCATTCCCATCAGAGTGGACTCATGGAGGAGAAACATGCCTGGCAGCTTTACTTCGTCAAGAGTTCCTCAACTGCAAAGGTCAGCTCGGCCAAGAAACCTCAAGAAATTTGCTCTGAGCTGCATTGGGGGGAGGGGGTGGACAGGGGTGGGCAAAGGTTGCTAAGCAACCACACCTCTTCCTCCTTTTGCAGGCACTCCAGCAAGAGTAGAGAATGGGTAGCAGGCTGGGCAGGAGAAATCAATGGTTTGGCTCAAGTGAAACATACCCAAATTCATCCTTGGGTTGGACAGGAGTAAGCTGGTGCCTATGCACAGGAAGAGAGCAATGGGCACTATTTAAGGAGGATGTAGCTCCAGCCTAGTCAGGGCTCTCCCTCGTAATGGCTGATGCAGCCCAGAAGCCTTAAGAAAACTACAGGTTAAAAACTGTGGAGAGGCAACGTTCCGTCCTTGCTCTTCTGGCAGCCTCAACCCTTGTTAAGTGATGTTGTAGTGTGTCTTTGATGTTGTCTCTCCATCTTCTTCTGGGTCTACCTTGTGTTCTTTGGCCTTCTCCTTTTATATGTGCCTTGTACAGTATGGAATCCCAAGGCAGAATAAGAGAATAACAGTTGGAAGGGACCTTGGAGGCCCTCTAGTCCAACCCCCTGCTCAAGCAGGAGACCCTACACCATTCCGGACAAGCGGCTGTCCAGTCTTTTCTTGAAAGCCTTCAGTGATGGAGCACCCACAACCCCTGGAGGCAAGCCGTTAATTGTTGTGTCAGAAAATTTATCCTTAGTTCTGATTGGACCTCTCCTCCATAAATTTCCATCTGTTACTTTTTGTCCTGCCTTCAGGTGCTTTGGAGAATGTCAAGACCTTCTTCTTTGTGGCAGCCCCTGAGATACAGGAACGCAGCTATCATAAATATTGGGACATGGATTCCAGACAAGGATCCCAAAATCTCAGACTCTCCCAGTGGAGAGATCCATTGTCCCCATTCATTAATTCAGCCCCCTGGTTTAGCTATGCTGCTCCATCCCCCTCCCCTGCTTTTAAAAATGATGAGATACACTTCCCCTAATTGGGCTTGTCCAGCCATGTTGGACGACTCCCCAACCATCCATGGCCAATGTGTTATTTCACGGATTCAATTTCTTTTGTGCCTGAAACAGCCCTCAATCAACTAAACTAGCAGAGAGCAAAACTGGTGCTGAAGTCTCATCAAGGGATAACAGCTTTCGAAATTGCTTTTACAGATGTTGCAAACACATCCCTTTTCGGCAGGAGGACAGCAAGTACAAGCCAGCAATCAGTAGTCCTAATCTGAAACAAGGGGTGGGAAGGGGTTGGTGGGGGTGGGAAGGGGTTGGCTGCAATAGCACTGAACTGGAAGGAAGAGATGGGAGTTTAAAGCAGGAGTGTCCAATGTCTATGGAGATTCTCAGTCCTCCAGGTCACAGTTGTCCCAAAGGTGCTTTTTTCAAGAGGCAACTGGACTTTCTTTGTGTTTCCTTAAAAACGTTTTCCTTCTCATCTAAGAAGCTTCAATTCCGACTGTCAAAACTGAAGAAGCTTCTTGGTGATACATCTTCAAGGAAAAACCAAGTCCAGCTGTCTTTTGAAAAAACACTTTTGGGACAGGAGTGTCTAACCTTGGCAAACTTTAAGATTTGTGGACTTCAACTCCCAGAATTCCCCAACAGCTAGGCATGGTTGGCTGGGGAATTCTGGGAGTTGAAGTCCACAGGTCTTAAAAGTTGGCAAGGTTGGCGACACCCTACCTTAAAGCCTTAATCATCCTAAAGGATCTGTTGAAAAAATCTTATTTCTCATCTCCCCCACCCCAATAAATCTCTCCATTGCTCACTTCCTCTGTAGACTCTTCAGAAAAAAGGTGTGGAAATGTCTCATGGATACCTAAATCTTCTGCTCATCTTTTGCAGATACTTGAAAACCCCTGGCTTTTATCATTCCTTATCCGGCAAAGCCTTTTCTCTACAATTCTGCCTCAACAGTGTTTTATTGATTTACAGCCTCTCCCTTGCCCACCCTTTGCATTTCAGGATAGTGAAAATATTCACCATCTTGGTTTTAGAAATACACAATCACCAGTGAGGGCCAAAAGAGGAAAAATCCCATCAATCTGTTAGCTTAGACTGAACTCCAGGTCCAAATTAACAGTCCTAACTGCCCTCGGCCCTCTCCAAACTGAACTTCCAGCTATGCCAAGACTAGATGCCAAAGCCCAGAACTGCCTTTCCAGTTCTTAAAGGCTGGACTTCACTGATGGAGTAACACACTAATTCAAAATTGCCAAAGCTCCTGAAAGAAATCATTTAACAACCCTAGAACAAAGGCCCTGATACGGCTATTTTCATCACATTCATGATGATTTTGATGCAAGTTTGACTCTTGGTGACTCAAGACAACTTTACTAGAGTGGGGGGTGGGGGAGGTTGTCATTGTTTTATTTCAAAATGTGTTGTTTACTAGCCTACAGCTTTATTATTCTTTGCCTGGCCAAGATTACCAAGATATCAGCTAAAGTTGGCCGTCTACTGCCATCTGCTGAGAGGAGTCAGAAATCAAACTTTTAAAAACTGCGTGTATTCAGAACACACAGAAACAGCAAGGCAGAAGGAAGTCTGAGCACAAAGGGGGTCAGCAGTATCCAACTTTTAAGACCGGTGGACTTCAACTTCCAGAAGTCCCCAGCCAGCCTGGCTCTGTGGACTCCCAGAATACCCCAGCCAGCTGGGAGGCGACATCCACAGGTCTTCAAGTTGACATGGCTGGACACTCTTGGTAAGCGAAAGATGCAGATTGCTGATCAAAAGCAGTTAAGCTAGAATCCTAAAGTTAAACAGCTCCTGAGATTTATCGAGAGGCAACTGGGCTGGAAAATGAGGGACAAATTAACCCACTTATTGGGTTTCTATGGAAGGCCCATGCCAGCTCCCTCGCCTTGGGCAGCCAGTCCTGCGGCTAGCACAGGAAAAGCAGACCGTCTCAATTTCTTTAACTCAAACTTCTGGGGCTTGGAAACAAAAATGGCAGACTCTCCTGAGAATTTGGGTTTTATTGAAGTTGTATGTGTTTGGTCATGAAAAAAATCTCATGGAGGATGTAAATTTAATTCTGCTTTCTGAAGGTAATGCAAGAGGAAATACAGGTTAGATGACTGAAAACATATCCAAAAATTTTGCCCCCCAAAATAATTCAAACATTTACCCCACCCCTAATTGAGCACTTCTTTTAGTCTTTCAACAAGAGGGCAGGCACCGGTTTTTACCTTGTGCAGGTAGAGATTTAAATGCTAAAGAAACTCAAACTGGAAGAGGGATATCACACCAAAAGTACAACCTGCCCCTTCAAATCCTGGTCTTGAGGAGGATTTTATTACAGAGATGCTCTCAGATTCTATACATAGAGACAGAAAAAAAGATGCTTGCCAATAAGATGAAGAATGTTTGCAAATGGCCAATATGCAGGAATTTGACCAGAGGGAGACCTGGCATTGAGGAAACACAGCAAGAGGCATCTGGGCAGGTGCTGGGCATCAAGAAAGGGGACATAACGGAGCCCCAGCCTCACCTTTGCTGCTTGACCAATCAGCCTAATGCAGTCCCCATGCCAGACACTGGTTCCCTGAAGACCGACTTCCATGGGAGCAGAATTCCTGAAAGCCCAGAGGCTTCTCCCATGACACAGGGGTCAGCGGTGCTTGGGGAACAGGAAGTCGGGCATCCAGGGGGGGGGAGGGGACAGGACCAGCCACCTCGCCCCATTTTCCCTTCTTTTAAATCCATTCATTACAGTCTCCCCCCTTCCTCCTCCTCCTCCCAACGCCAGAGTAAAGGGAAAGGCTGGTAAAGTCAAGAAGGCTTTGGCACTTTAAGAGCCTTGAAAGGCTACTGGAAGGTCCCCCCGCCCCCCCCCCTTCAAGTCAGGTGTGCTTTAGAAGCCACTTGCAAAAGAGAAGCGGTTAAGGTGCGCAAGAGGAGGGCTCCCTTGGGAAGAAGCTGCATAGATGCTGTTTCCTCACATCCTGCCCAGAGCTTCAGCATGCCAGCTGGGCTTGGCCAAACGTGTCCAAGATCTGGACCAGTTGGGATCTTCTTTGGGTAGAAGATTCAGTCAGTTGATCACGTGTTCTGCCGGGAAAGTCGTTTTCTGAGGTCCGGAACTGCCACTTGATGGGCTTCCGACTGAGCTCTTCGACCACGGAGCACATCAGCCCCAGCCAGGACTCCACGAGGAGGAAGGGGAGACCAGGCAGGAAGCAGCCTCAGCCCAGGACGATCTTTCAGAGGCCACCAGCTACTTGATGCTGGCCAAGGCAGCTGCCCTCCGCTCTGTGTTCTGGAACAAGGCTCGGATGAGGTTCTTCACCTCGCTGGGGGAGAACTCGGTGGCAAGGGGCCCTTTGCTGCCTGCCCACCTTCAGAGAAGAAAGCAAAGGGGACAGCTGTGATTCCAGAAGGTGGGAGGAGGGATAGGGGGGGAGAGGAGGGCTCAGGGATGGGCAAGGCAGTCACTTTTTCCAGACCCCTTCCTACAGTCTGGTGGATTAGGAGGCTTAAGCCTTGTTAGGGCTTCCCCTGCTCACATCACGGATCCTTGCCCAATTTCGTCTTCCCTTCTCAAACAGAGATGCTTTTACGAAGGCAACAATCTCTTCTGCAAAATCGAGAACTCAGAAGAATCAAATATACCACAGCAGCACATAACTGTTGACACTTTAGCAGTCCAATTGGTTTGCCTAGATCAGGTGTCAGCAGCTGTAGACTCCAGATCCGAGAATTCCTGAGCCAGCCATGCTGGTTCAGGAATTCTGGCAGTTGAAGTTCACGGGTGGTAAAGTTACCCTAGCTGCCAACTCCTGGCCTAGATTAAACTTTCTGACTGGGAGGGAGCCCAGCAGAGGGAGAAGTCCCACCATCTCTGCCTCCTCTGGGTTCCGCTCCCCCCCACCCCCCACCCCAGGTGCAACTGGATGGAGGAACACGCTCACCGGTCCACAATTTCTTGCAGACTGGCCTGTAAGACCAACATGAGCTCCTGGAACATCATCCACTTGGGCACGTAAACGGGCACCTCCTCCTGGAAGTGCCGGTTCTCCTTTTCCTCCGGCAGGGGCACAAAGACCCGGGGGCCCTCGTCCACCACGGTCCTGCACAGGGCATGCAACCGGTCAGCATTCTCCGCGGAGATATCCTGCAAGGGAGGGGAGATGAACGAGGGAGGCAGAAAGGCTGGCCCCAAGCCTTCCAGGGTGGGCCTCCCTTACGCCCTGTCACCGAGAGCCACGTTCCCATAGGACCAAGTGAGCAGAGAGGCTGAAGCAGGAACGGTTTTCAAATGCACAGGAATTTAGTCTTGTCAAGGTCTCAATTGCTACAAAACAGGTAGTCCTCAACTTACAATAATAGAGCTTCCAAGTCCTGGCCACACTTTAGGATGGTTGTAAAGCAGGTCATCGTGTGACCAAATTGATTTTATGACTTTATTTTTGAAAGGGTTCACTAGCAAGCATTTTTTTACCAAAAACCAAAGGTCTTGGCTTCTACAGTAGCTCTCCACAATCTGGAACTGGTTGGGGATTATGGGAAATGAGGTCCAGGGCACCTGACTGCAAAGCCTTTTGGGCCACCATCCAATCCAATGACAGAAGCAACTCCAGAGGTGCTTCTCTTATGCGCCTGTCCCAAATGTGCTCTTTTTAACCATGCTGGGAAATGCACCTGGCAGCCCTCCAATGCAGAGGTGGTTTAGGCAAGGTTTAACTCACCATTGCTTCCACTTCTTCCAAAAAAACAACAAACAAAAAAACCCAGCCACATCCACCAGCTTAATTAAAACCAAGCCCCTTATTTGCCACACGCACATGGCTGTGATAAAACCATCCTTTTTAATGCAGCCCAGCTCTTTCCATGAATCCAGAAGGAATAATCCGAGATGCCGTCAGTGGAGGGAGACCATCAGGGGCTCTAGATGGCCAACTTTTAGATCTGGTGAGCCACCCCACCAAGAAGCAGAGCTGGATCTCCAGAAACATCGAGAATTCCCCGCCCCCCAATGCGGGGCTCCGTCCTCACCTCCAGAGCAACAATCCTGCTCGTGATTTCCACCAGGGCCGTGTTCAGCAGGGTCCCCATGGCCCGACAGTAGACGCTCACCGGTAGGACATCCTGCCAGATCTTGCCCAGTCTCTTCAGTTGGTGCAGAACCTGGAAGAGGGAAACGGCCCTTTCAGCCTCTGCCAGGAGCGGCCGACGGGGAGAGAACCCCTGAGCAATACGGCCACTTTGCGGGCAGGGCTGGGGGTGCAAATCAGTCCAGAGTGGAACAGCAAGGAGGGCAGAGCCCCCTCCTCCTCTGCTCTGCTCACACAAGGGTGCAGGGACATCTGTTGGAAAATGAACTGGCAGCGGGTTCAGGAGGAAGGAGGGGGGGACTCTCCAGCTGGACTGAAAAGAGGTGCTCAGTGGGGGGGGGGGGACTCGGGAATCCTTACACTGCAGAAAGCAGCAGAGAGGCCTGACCCCCCCCCAAAGAATCCCTGGAGCCTTACCTGACCATTCTCAAAGGAATGTGGTCAGTCAGTCTGGTAAGGCCCTTCTAACGTTAGCGAGGTAGTCCCCAACTTACAACCAGAATTGACCCCAAAAGTTATGTTGCTAAGTGAGACATCTGTGAAGTGACTTTTACCCCATTTTACCACTTTTCCAGCCACATTTGTTCAATGAATCACTGCAGTTCTTAAATTAGTAACACGTCGCTAAGTGAGTCTGGTTTCCCCGGCGACTCTGCTTGTCAGACGGTCGCAAAAGGGGATCGCATCACTCCAGGAGGCATCCAAATGTAAATCACGTGAGGCTGCAACGGTCGTAAGTGTGAAAAATGGCCGTCACTTTTTTTTCCAGTGCTGCTGTAACTCTGAGCAGTCACTAAGCGGACTGCTGTAACTTGAGGACTACCTGTACCAAGGAAGCTTGAGGCTATCAGCTGGTGCCCAACAGAAAGAAAGGACTTTGGCACACAATGCCTCATTCGGGGGGCAACTGGCCACAAGCATCAGTGCCTTCAAGGGCCAACGTGGAGCCTCCAGGAGCAGGAGCAGGATGCTGCAGGGAGGGACTGCATGAGGTGGGAGAGAGGGGCTGTTACATTCAGGCTCAGGGAGTGACCTCATGGAATCTGGGGGAGGGGGAGCTAATCTTCCAGGTTCCACCAAACCCTCCCACTCCTGACCTGACGGACAGCTTTGTTGGCCGCAGAGTAGTTGTCCTCGTCGTCCAGGCTGCAGAAATTCCGTGACAGGGAGAGCCTCTCCAGAAGCTCCTCCTTTTGAACCCGCATCTGGGTGAGGAAGCACCTTGTTCCTGGGGGGGGGGAGGAAGAGGCCAATGGCCCAGGTTTCCGGGGGGGGGAGGGAGAGAGGGGGGGGAGGGAGGGAGGGAGGGGGAGAGAGAGGGGGGTTTGCATCCTGGACTGCTTCACCAAAATACCACCAGAAAAGCTTCTTTTGTGGGCCGAGACCCCCACCCCTTTCGGGGGAACAGCCTAAAATCTGACCCAGCTCAGGCCTGGCACTGCTGAAGTACATTTTAATGCAGGGCTGCCCTGGGAGACTGTTTAGCCTGGGAGGCAGAGGAGCTACTTAAATGGCCCACAAGCCACATTCCCTTCAGGCTCACCCAGTTTCCTGAACCCGGGCACCAAGTCGACGAAGGTGGCCGTCCCATCACTCAGCCGGCTCCTGAACTGGTGGCCCATGGTCAGCAGGTGGTGGGCAATGTACATGCAATTGTTGTGGTGAATAGCGGCCAGCTGGGGAAGCTTCTGGAGGTTCTCTCTGGGTGGGCAGAGGAAGAAGAGGAGGGGGCTGCTCAGAGAACGCGGGGGGGGAGGCAATACATGTGGTCCTTGCCAGGTTACAGCAATTCATCGAATACGCTTTTGAGCAGTTATAAAGTCATTAATGTTTTAATATCTCCACAAATTTAAAAGGAGAACTCAACTGAGGCAGTCCTCTTGTAACAACCTGTTACTTCGTGACAATTCGAAGTCACGGCAGACTCTCCCAAAAGCTACTTATGACCCGGTTCCAGAGTTCTGATGCCCGCACACCCCCTGCGGCCACGTGACATTTCCAGCTTTTGACGACGGGCTCTTCTTTATGGCTGGCAGCAGCACTCTGCAGTCACACGACCACGTTCAACACTGTCTTTTGCCGGTTTCTGGCGTTTTGGGGGCCAGTTTCTGGCAAAAACATCCATAGGAATAAATGGATCTTCTTAACGACTATGGCGTTCGCTTAACGACCACCACACAAAAAAGTTGTAAAATCGGGTCCAGTCGTGTGGGTGCCTCGACTTACGACTGTCATGAAATTCCAGGTACTGTTGCGGTCGTAAGTTGAGGACTGCCTGTAATTCAACAGGCTAAATTGGAGCTCTGCCTAGCATCCCCCCCCTCACGGACGGCCATCACTCACTTATGATACATGGGCACCACGTCGCAAAAGAGATGGAAGATGTTGCGCACCAAGTAGAAGAGCTGGTTGCAGCTGCCGGAGAAGACGAGAGGGGATCCGGGTCACATCTACTTTTTCCAGAGCCCGAAAGGGGAGTTTGCCAGCTGCCTAAGCAGCCTGGGCTCAGCTCCCTTTGGATAGCCCAGAGGACCTCACAGGCAGAGGAAGAGTCTGCCGAGGCAATCCGGGGCAGCCTGCCTGCACCCCACCAAAGACCCAGCATCAAGACTGCCAGGGAGCGAGCGCTAGGGGGACACTCCACCCTGTCAGCCCTCACCATTGATCAGTGCTGGCTGATGCCTCCTGGAGGGTCTGATAGGCCAAAGCCATCAATCGGTGGACAGAGTCGCTGATGCGGCAGGTGGGGAAAGAGAAGGTGTGGCGGCTCAGCTTGGTCTTGTTCTCCAAGTTGGTCACCTGCTTGAGAAGCGCCTCGGGCCCTTCGGGCGGCTTTAACTGGTCCCCAGCTCCAGAGGCAGGCAGGGTGGGAAGCGTAACCACAGAGTCTGGGGTGACCTGGGGAAGACACGGGAGGCTCACGTGCCGCCGGGTTCCGTTCTGAGCATGGACCGTGACACCCCCCCCCCAAGGAATGATGCTGCTTTGGGGCCAAATTGAGGGTTGGCAAATGCCAAGGGCAGAATTGCAGGGGGCTTCTTTTTTCTCTCTCCCCGTCTCATTTTGCTCCACTAACTACCTGCCACCAGGTAATACAGCCTGGAAACAGGTGGGCAAAACAGACACGGACAAGAGGAAAGTGCGTCCAATTGCTTTCAGAGAACAACCACCTTGCTCTGATACCTTCACAGTGTTGTGTATTTCTGAGGTCATCAGGTTCCTGGCTGCCACGATGACATCCTGGCATTTCTTGTTGGCAAAATGGCAGTTAACATTGCGGGCGTAGGTCAGCAAGTCCACGGAGTTCTCCGGGAGGAACTTCATGTCTTTTAAGGCTTTTTCAAAGTCTTCTGTTGCTTTAATAACCTGCGGGGTGAGATGGGGGGGGGGGCATAAGGAAGCAGGTCAGCCAGTCCCCTGAGGTCAGCTGATGGGTGGATTCACTCTCCCCCCCTCAGAAACAGGCTGGCTGCAGTGATATTTAGCTCTCCAGCCCCACAAAGGCTCTTCCATGTTGCCGAGAATTCTTCAGCCACCTCGTTCTTTGAAAAGGCTACGGGTAGTCCTCAACGTACGACAATTGAGCCCCAAATTGCTGTTGTTAAGTGAGACCTTTGTTAAGTGAGTTTTGCCCCTTGGCTCAGTTGTTAAGTGAATCGCTTCAGTTGTTAAGTGAGTCGCACAGTTGTTAAGGGAATCCGGCTTCCCCTTGACTTTGCTTGGCAGATGGTCGCAAAAGGGGATCCCGTGACCCTGGGACACAGCAAAGGTCATAAATATGAACCAGTTGCCAAGCGTCTGAATTTTGATCACGGGATCGTGGGGACACTGCAAAGACTGTTAACTGTGAAAAATGGTCACCAGTCCCTCTTTTCAGTGCAACTCTGAACAGTAACTAAATGAACTGTCGTAAGTCAAGGACGGCCCGTATTAGGAAAAGCAGGTGCTAAAAAGCGTAACTTTCATTTCAATCTCCCGTGCAAACCTCCCCCTGCCTAATTTAAGAAGCAGCCCAGAGATCGGAGGTCGTGACACCCACCTCTGTGTACTGTGCAAGCTGGCTGCTGCTGCTGGGGATGGAGTGCACCAAGCAGTCGCAAATGAGGCAGTCGGACAGCTTCCTCCAAATCACACTGCTCAACACCTCGGCCAAGCCGGGCCAGGTGCTGTTTTCCTCCTCCTCTTCCTCGCAAGGGGCAAGTGGGGTGTCTGGAGAGGGGAGAATGCTCTGTGGCTCCTTCTGCAACCCCACCCGACAGGGGCCCCCTGTAAGCCAACAGGAGCAACAGCCCCCGTGGTCTTCCCGGGGTCCGTTTCCTACTGCCCCAGGCTCAAGGCTTTCTTCCAAGCCAGTGTGGGATGAGGTCCTTACCCAGCAGGTGTTGGTGGAGAACTTTGAACACCAATTGGAGCTTCGCAAACACTTCCAAGGGGGGCGGGTGGCCAAGACTGGAGCCCACTGACTCAAATTTGAGCGTGACGCCATCAGGCTGATCTTCCATCAACAGCCGTAAGGAGGGACAACAGATCAAAGGCTTGAGGATGTGCTTCAGCAGTAACTGTCCTGGCAAGAGGGAGAGGAAGGACAGTGAGCAAGGATCGAAGGATAGCGGTTTGATGGCACTTCCCAGGCGGCCTATGGCCTCCTTCTTTGCCTTGTCCTCACTCTGCTTGAAGGAAGGGGGCATTTCCCACAAGGACATCAGGTGGAGATTGGAAGAAGACGGGGGGGGGAGGGGGCTTCCTTTTGGACCAGACAAAAAGGAATTTTAAAGCACTGCCATCCCAAGAAGAGAGTGACAATATCAAAAGCATTTTTGGTATTTACTTAATCTCCTTCCCTAAGTGAGATGCTCCTTTGGACCACTCTGCTTTATAAGGCCATGAAAAATTATGCAGCTGTCCTGGATGGCCCATATAACACCAAGTGTTTCTGCCTCCGCTTATCTTCAGTTAACCGGACAGCACCAAGCTCTCTCCTGACCGTAGAGAGGAACAGGACCCCAGAGGAGCAGGCTATGGTTCAGGTGCCAAATTTAGAATATCTTTGTGCAGGACAAGAATGCAAAGTCAGAAATCGAACCTCTCTGACGCTCAGGAAGCTGCTGCTAGAGAGAAAGAACTTACCAAAATGCTTGAACTTCACATCCAGTTCTCCCAGAATGGCAAAAGCCTGCAGAACCGTTGAAACTCCTGGGTCTGTGGCAACATCTTTTCTGGGCAGACACAGGTACAACTCTGTTTGGGTAGCTGCCTCTGGACAGCTGAGTTCTAGAGAAAGAGAGTTAGAGCACCATCCAGATTACAGCAAACCATGGTTACAAAACTGTAAAAGAGGTGAAAAAATGGCAACCCGGCCTCTGCCCCCAATCTCTTGTCATCCTAAGCAAATAGCTGCAGCACACACTCCCCCACAGCCTTTAGGCCACCCCAGAAACAGCAAGTCTCTAATCAGAATTGCTCAGTGACACAGTTGAAAATGACTTTAGGGACCATCTAGACCAGGGCTTTTCAACCAGTGGTACGGGTACCACCTGTAGTACATTGGCACCTGGCAGGTGGTATGCGACCATCCTAGAAAAGTGGTAGTGGGGAAGGGGAATGAGCTGAACCAGTGGCAGCACCACACAAGCCTGAGCGAGAGATGGCTGGAGCTGCAGGGCTGTCAGGGCTCAGCGGAAGCGCCAGGATCAGTGCCAGGCTCCAGCTGGAGCTCAGCCCTGATCCTGGCGCTTCTGCTAAGCCCAGAAGAAGCGTCGATCAGCTGGAATGTTGCAGCATCTCCAGGGTCTTATGATTTACATTCAGGTGCTTGGCAACTGATTCATATTTATAATGGTCACTAGAGTCATGTGAAGTGACCAAAACTTGCTGCAACCACCCAGCAGACGGGGGGCAATAAAAACCAAACACCCGCCACCCCACCCCCACTGCCAATCCTCAACAGAAATGCTCACAATAATGAAAACTTCGGACAGGAGGAAGAGCACCACTGGTTGGGCAGGTAGGTGTCTTGTTCAGCTGTGGCTTGGGCACTTTTGCAGTGCCATTGTAACTTCAAACAGTCACTAAGCGAACTGTTGTAAGTTGAGGACTACTTGTACTTTATCAATTTTCTTTTTGGGGGGGGGTCATCAAGTTTTTGACACCTTGCTAGGCGACTGGTGGTACTCGGATGTTGCCATATCCTAAAAGTGGTACAATGGGTGAAAAGGTTGAAAAGCCCTGGTCTAGACCAGGAATCTCCAACCTTGGCCACTTTAAGACTTGTGGACTTCAACTCCCGAGGCTGGCTGGGGAATTCTGGGAGTTGAAGTCCACAATTCTTAAAGTGGCCAAGGTTGGAGACCTCCAATCTAGATTAACCCCTCAGCAGGAACGCAGAAAAGGGCCAACCAAATGGCCTCTGCACCTTGTGACTGGGGAAGTTTCCACACCACCATTCGCTGCCACTCCTGATCCAAAAGATACAGAATGTTTTGGGTCTGAATGGTGAGCTCCTGGCCGAGCGCCTTCAGAATCTTCAGCTCAAAGCCCCGACGAGACTCCATGGTTTTCAGGCTTCTCCGGGCCTGACAGGAAACAGGAAAAGGTTGCAGAGTCACACAAAGCCTGCCATGAGCCAAGCCATTCCACTGTAAAGGAGTCTGGAAGCAACCCAGGGAGGACATGAACAGTCCTCCATCCCCAAGAACTACCTTGTTCAGGTAGTTAGTTGCTGAGATGTACTTCTTCAGGGGCAGCAAGGTAGCGAACTGTTTGAGAGCAGTGTCGAACTGAAGAAAGCAGAAAAGAGGAATGCTGGTATCTCGGAGCAAGCCTCCAATCAATATAACCCAAAATGGGCACGCAGAGCTTCACCCTCTGGCTTACCTCCTGGAGCTGCTTCAGCACGCTCAGAACAAGTAGCTCTCTCTCCAGCTGCTGTTTCAGATCAGCAAAGTCTGCAATGGCCACGTTAACATCTTGCTGGACCTGTGGAAGCACCAGAGGTTAAAAACCCATTTAATTTCTTTGGTATACAAAAAAAACCAAAAAAAAACACCTGCTAGTAAGCATGGCGAGATTTCTGCGCGATTTTAGAATGCATTAACATACAACATAGAAAGGCTAGAGCAGTGTTTCTCAACCTTGACAATTTTAAGGCATGTGGACTTCAACTCCCAAAATTCCACAGCCAGCATTGCTGGCTGTGGAATTCTGGGAGTTGAAGTCCACATGTCTTAAAATTGTAAAGGTTGAGAAACACTGGGCTAGAGGAAGGAGGAAAAGAGCACTTTCACAACCTCATTATTTATTCATTCATTTGATTTATATGGCTGCCCATCTCAAAATAATGACTCTGGCGAATCTATATTTTAAAAAATATAAAAGGCAGGAAAAACTAAACACAGCAGTTGGGGTAAAAACGTCTCTCTCAGTAACTACGAATACAACGCATGACCAGGCTCAGCCCTCCCCCCTTCTACGGGGCTTCTTTAGCCAAGGCTAAAGTTCTTCCACATGGTCCTCACCTCATTCTCGATCCTGGATCTCAGCTGGTCGATGCCGGCTGCGAGTTCTTGCACTTGGCTCTCTAGATCCTTGGCGCTCTGCACGCTGGGCAGGAACTCGACGTATCTTTGGTTGATCATGCTGCAAACCTCCTCCTGGAAAGATGGGGGGGGAGGGGAGTAACCAGCAGGACTCCAAGATTAACATCAGGCCAACCATCAAGTCTCTTAGGGGGAGCCTGGAAACCCCCCCCCCCAGCATGTCCCCATGTGGCGCACTGGGGGGCCCTACCCATTATGGCTTTATACTGTAATGGCGAGTTGGAGAGAATCAAATACCTCCCGTGGACCAACAGGCCTGGTGAGTGGCAGCTGGCTCCCCAGTATCGACTAAAGGCGGAGACCATATTGGTTGGGAGGGATTTAGAAGAACACCACACCGTGTGGTGGCAGCCACTTGAACAGCGTGTGCATAGCGGTGTAGAAAGCAAAGGGAAGACTACTACACTATGTATTTCCCATGTTAATGGTGACAAAACAGGATCGCCAACATGATCGCCAACGTCCGATAACGGATATGGCACAAGAAGAAAAAGAAGAGCCATCAAGCAAACAACACCCCAATCCAGGAACTGCCAAACAAGCCAACGGTAAGCAGCCCAACCACAGACCCTCTAAGACAGTGTTTCCCAAACTTGACCATTTTAAGGCATGTGGACTTCAACTCCCAGAATTCCACAGCCAGCGTTGCTGGCTGTGGAATTCTGGGAGTTGAAGTCCACATGCCTTAAAATGGTCAAGTTTGGGAAACACTGCTCTAAGACCACCCATCCATCCCTGACAGGGCAAGTCACTAGAATAGGAACTGACCGCAAACAGCCCGCCAGCCCTGAGGTGGGGAATGAAAGGTCCGCAAGGAAAGCGCCCCGCTCAGGGAGCCCCCCGCCCTCCTCCTCTTCTCCCACAAACCCCCCCACTCCCTTCTAGCCCTGATGACGTCACCTACTTTGGGGCCGCGAAACGTCCGCTCAGGGAGCCCGGAGCTGCCCAGGCTCGCCTTCATCGGGGCTCTTTCGCCAGAGGTGAGCCAAAGGAGACCCCGGGGCCTTAGAGGCGGGGGGAGTCGCATGTCCGCAGCCCCGCCCGGCTCCTCCGCCGCCTACTCCTACTGCCGCCCGGGGCAAAAGGGGGCAATTCTGGGCGGGGGGGGGGAGGAAAGCCACGTGTCATCTCATGCACACGACTCTCCGCCTCGCGGGACTCCCGCTCCCCCCCCCCCGCGCTTCAACTCTGCACACGCTCAGGGGCCCGGCGCTCCCTCCCCTCCCTCTGCAGGCGCCCAGGGGCCGAAGGGAGCGGGGAGACTCCCGGGGGCGTGGCCCAGGTAAGTCCACCCCACCCCTCTCCACCCCGCGCACCTTGAGCTCCTCGGCCCGGCGGGAGAGGCGGGCGAGGCGGCCGGCCAGACCCTCCTTCTCCAGGCGCCCCGAGCAGGCCAGCACGGCCTCCACCAGCGAGGAGCCGCGCGCCGCCATCCCGCCGCCCTGCGCGGAGCCTCACGGGAAGGCGCGACGCGAGCGACGCCGACTACCGTTCCCGGCGTGCCCTTCGGCAGCCTTTTCCCCTCCGTGACCATGGAGTCGAGCTGGGATAGAGAAGGCCTGTTTCTGCCCCCCGCCAATAGTGGCGCTGGCTCCGCTTTTGAACCACAAAGTTGAAAGCCTAGAGGAGCTTCGGGAGGGTAGCTCTTGGGTTGCTGCCCCCCTGGAGGTGGAGCGGGGAACAGAGAAAGCGCGTCAATATATCTGTACATATATTCTGTTTGTGTGAGCGTGTGTATACCTGTACATGCAAATGCCTTTTCCTCAAGCAACCTTCAGGACTGAGTTGAACTACAGGTCTAATAATATTAGGAATTATGGTTTTTGTAGTCCAGCAGCTCTGGAGATCCCCTGCACAGCCCCCTAGCCTCAAAAGCCTTCAAAAAAAAAAAAAAAAGTCCCACTGGAAAAGAATCAGATTCCTCACTGCACTTTTTAAAGAGGCTTTTCAGAAATGATAGCCCAGCGTTGTTCTTAGTGCACTTAATTCACTTCCAGTTTCAGGGATGCATCTTGCAACAGGACCCAGCCTGTTTCTGATAAGATCCTTTGCTGGAGTGGAGTATCTTTTGGGTAGTGCCCGAGGTTAAGTCTGAGAAAAGCTACGAACAAAGAAACCTGAGAAATACGATGTGAGCCAGTTGGAACCAGAAGAGATGCTGGAGAAAACTGCACTGAGCAGGATGCAGCCCAGCCAGTAGAGCCACAAGCGGTGAGACCCCCGCTGAGGTGAAGTGGGGTGGCACATTATAAAAAGGAAGGGATGGATGAGGGACGTGCTTGGAAAACTCTCCCTCCACACCCGATCTCTGGTTTGGAATTCCTCTTCTCCACTCCTGATCAATCGCTTGGCACAGCTGGGTGAACGTGAAAGGGGAGTGCTAAACAAAACCTTGCCAGATTGCAATCAATAAAGCCAGGGGGATTAACAAAGAATTCCTTGTGTCACGTGGCATGATTCATTTGCCCAAACGAGATCACACAAATGTTGGCTTCTACGTGTCTGTGTGTTTCCCACAAATACAGGTAGTCCTCGACTTATGATCACAACTGGGCCCAAAATTTCTATTGTTAAATGAGACATTTGTTAAGTGAGTTTTGCCCCATTTTACGACCTTCCTTGCCACGGCTCTTAAGTGAATCACTAAAGTTGTTAAGTTAGTTGTGCTTCTCCATTGACTTTGTTTGAAGGTCACAAAAGATGTCAACATAATCTCAGGATGCTGCGACTGTCATAAATGTGAGTCAGTTGCCAAGTGGCTAAATACCGATCACATGACCATGGGGAGGCTGCAACTGTCCTAAGTGTGGAAAATGGTCATAAATCACTTTTTTAATGCCGTTGCAACTTCGAACGGTCACTAAACAAAGGGTTGTAAGTCAAGGACTACTTATACCCCATTGTTGACCATGGCTATGTCTCCAGCCACCTCAAGATGCTCCTCCCTGAGCTATGGAGCCACGGAACGCTTCAGGCAGAGGAAACCAATAAGATGTGCCTCGATGGGCAGTGATTGACTGGGAGACGTAATAGAAGGGACAAGCTCTGTGGCTCCCAAGTGCTCTGCGAGAAGGAACTTTATTGCTTTCCAGGGTCCTTCCTTCCCCTCCGGACAAAAGAAAAACTTGCTTACAATAATAACATGGACCCTGCAACAGGTACAGAAGGGGAGTTCGGAACCAAAGGCATCAGTTCGGCAAAAAAAAAAAAAACCAAAGGTAAGAGGCCCAGGTGGGCCGGTGGAGAAAGGGGTTGGGGGCAACACCCACCGTGAGCTCCTATGGCACCATAAAAGATGAAACACATTCATTGCCGTGGCCAGGCCAGTGGCTTAGGATGCTGCAGCACAGATACCTGCAAGGTGTGGGGCACAGCAAAAAGGACCGAGTGGCCTGCAGAACACGATACAAGTTAAGTCCCGGTTTTCCCTGTGGCAAAACAAATAAACACGTTTCAAATAACTGTGGACTAGTTCCACCACTTTGGACAAGGACAGGCATGCCTACAAAAGTAGTTCAACCTTTTTTGTTTTTAAAGTGCAACAGGTTCCACGTGCGATCTCTGCTTGCAGAAACCACAATTCCTAGACAATCCCCTGGGAGTGCAACATGGATTCTGGAATGTTTCCAGCTCTGAGTGGGAAGGGTGGTGATTGGAGGACTAATCCAAAGTCATGACTGCTTTAGTCAGGAGTTTTTGATCTGGATCCCAAATGGTATCCAAACAAGACAATGCTCTGCTTTACATTTGATTCCGCCCTGGATTGCAACACAACCACGCTACGAGGAAGCGATGCGCAGCTGTTTCCTTTCCTCCTTGTTGGTTCACAGAAGCTAAGAAAAGCTGATTCAAAATGCTTAGAGTCTGGTACTATGGTTCCAGTATTCATTGCTCCTCTTCTCCGTGAAGTTGGAGCAGCTTTTCTCGTTGGGACAGCCCCCTCGTTGGGCTTCATGGTTGGGCTCTACTGAACCACAAGGCTGGGCCAGATGATCCCAGTAGAAGTTCAATGTTGATTGCTCCTGATTCTCCATCTCCTTCACATTGTAGATCTCACGTGCGCTCAGCAGCGGCGTCTGCACCTCAAAAGTCTTCTCAAATTTGGTGTAATCTACGTGGAAGACACCTTTTTCCAGGGTCATGCAGGGCTCAAAGCGATGGCCCCAGAGAATTTCATTCTCGATGTACGATGTCCTGGCTTGACATGTCATTCCTAAAATAAGAGAATGTGAAAAGGCAAGATACAGCAAGGAGGGGGGGGGGAGTATGGAACAAATTTAACATTCATTGTGTAGGAGATGACCAGGCTGGGCCAGAGGGAGGTCTCCCCTCACCTCCTGATGAGTTTCCAAACACAATTCAAGGTGTTCTGCTTATATTTAGAGTCTTATTTGGCATATTTTCCTTCCTCTCGTCCTGACTAAAGACTGCCAATCTGGGGAAAATCCCCCTCCCCAAAAGGTGCTTTGTTTGGTCTGGGCTGAGCATGTTAGAAAAACCCAGGTTTTTCTTGTGGGTTATGCAGTACCCTCTCTAGGTAAAGAAATCTTGGCGTAGTACAATATATAATCCGCATAAAGGATGGGGGGATGTGGTGGTGACTGGATTACACGTGGATTGTGTGCAAATGGTGCCAGAATTGCACCTGAAATCAACATGGACTCTGTAAAGAGTACAGACAAGAGCAACAAAGATGATTAGGGGGCAGGACGCTAAAATATATGAAGAATGGTTGCAGGAATTGGGCATGTTTAGTTTAATTGAAAAAAAGGGGCTAGGGATGATACGATAGCAGTCTTCCAATATTGGAGGGGCTGCCCCAAGGAAGAGGGGGGGTCAACCTATTCTCTTGTCCTGAAGGCAGGACAAGAAGCAAAGGATGGAAAATAATCAAGGAGAGAAGCAACCTGGAACTAAGGAGAAACTTCCTGACAGTTAGAACAATTAATCAGTGGAACGACTTGCCTCCAGAAGTTGTAGGTGTTCCATCACTGGAGGTTTATAAGAAAAGACTGGACAACCATTTGTCTGAAATGGTATAGGGCTTCCTGCCTGAGCAGGGGGTCGGACTAGAAGACCTCCAAGATCCCTTCCAACTCTGTTATTCTGTTATTCTATTCTGTTATTCAACATCTGGATTCCCTGAGGTTACATGTATTATGAAGGTAGCTCTGAAACTTTAGAAGTGATAGCCATGATAGGCTTCCAAACCACACATCACAACTGAGACTACAATCTACAAAGTCTTTCCTACAGGAGGCCATTGTGTGACACACTCACCTGTGGCTTCCACAATGCCTTCGAGGATTATGATGATTTCAAACTGCTCCCTCTTCAGCGCCTCTGCAGACATCTCCCAGAAAGGGCTGACCTCGTTGATGATGTGACAAATTATCTGGGGTTCCACCAGGAAGAGACGGTCCTCCCCAGTGCCATAGCCCAGATTCAGTTCTGATTGGTCGAGCGGGATGAACTCTCCTTCCTTGGTTTGCCTGGATTTAATGAGTTTGCCTCTTATTTTTGCGTCCACCATGTGACTATCTCGAAGGTCTCCGATGCGGAACATGAGACAAAGCTTCTCATCCCGGCTGGAGATCACACACTTCTTGCTGAAGATTAAGGTCTGGGCACGCTTTTTGGGTCTGGAGATCTTGACAAACATGCATCCCACCATGAGGGCATCTATCATGGAGCCAATGATGGATTGGGCCATCAGTAAGAGGACTCCCTCAGAACAGTTGGCTGTCACAATGCGGGAGCCGTAGCCAATTGTGCGTTGACTTTCCACCGAGAACAGCAAGGCTGAGATGAAGTTATCGATGTTCTCGATGCAAGCCTTCCATTCAACATCCCCAATGTGGTTGATGTCGTCTCGTATCCAGGCATCCAGGTAATACGTGATGCCGAAGACCACCCAGGTAATGATGTAACACATGCTGAAGATGAAGAGGAACCAGCGATACTTGAGATCCACAATGGTGGTAAAAATGTCAGAGAGGAATCTTTTCTTCTCCTGAATGTTGCCTAAGCTGACCTTGCACTTCCCGACTTTGGTCACGTAGCGCTGCCTTTGCTGCTTATTTCTCCCCACGAACTGCCGGTCGTCGTCAATGAGTTTGCAGAGTTTGCTCTGTGCTTTCTCCGAGGTGGGCATCGATATGACGCTGCGGGTGAGGGTCTTGCTCCGGGAAGAGCTGATGATGTTGGGCACGCTAAAAGCATGCTGAGGGCAGAGCTGAGCGTTGAACTCCCGCAAGAGAGAAGGGGGCAGGGGGTCGGTCCGGGAGGGCCAGCAATACTTAGGCAACTTGTCTGTGCTGTTGGAGAAAGGAGGCTGGTGTTTGGGAGGCCCAGCTGCGCTGAAGCTGGCCTGTTCCACCATGCTGAGTCTTTTCTGCAGAAGGACGGACCTGACGTTGGACACATGCGAACTGCAAGGTACAGGGTGATAGTTGCAAGAGAGAGCACTTCTGTCGGCGCTCACGGTCGCTGCTGGCTGCTGGCTCATGTCTAAAGGTGTCATTTCAGGCTGTGGGGGGGGAGAAAGGACAGGTACTCCTCGAGTTTTGACCACAGCTGTGCCCAAATTTTCTGTCACTAAGCGAGACATTTGTTGAATTTCGCCCCATTTTACAACCTTCCTTGCCACAGCGATTAAGTGAATCGCTGCAGTCATTAGGTTAGTTAACACAATTGTTCAGTGAATCTGGCTTCCCCCTTGACTTTGTCAGAAGGTTGCAAAATGTGATCATATGATCCCGGGACACTGGAACCTTCGTAAGTACATGCCAGTTGCCAAGCATCTGAATTCTGATCACGTGACCCTGGCGATGATGCCTTGCTTGTTGAAAAATGGTCCTAAGTTACTTTTTCCAGTTCCATTGTAACTTTGAACGGTCGCTAAATGAACTCTTGTAAGTCGAATCCTCTTAAAAGCCCCTCTCCCGTGACTTGATTTCCTCCTCCAAACTGGGCTATCCTGAAAGTTTTTGACTAAAGCACAAATGCTCTTTTTTTTAAGTTTAAGAACAATAGTCCATTCCCTCTTGCTGACCAAGTATCGGTCAAATATCTGAACCTTCCTGTAATATTTCTCAAAATTGGCAACTTTAAGGTGTGTGGACTTCAGCTCCCAGAATTCTCCAGCCAGTGTGAGAGGAAAAGTCTATGCATATAAGTTGCCAAGGTTGAGAAACTCTGCATTAACGTCTAAGCCAGAGAGAGGTGGCTGGTCGCCCATGCAACTGAATCTAGTTCCAACCTGCCTGATTAATATAAATTGGAATATATATATATATATAAATAAATATATCAATAAATAAATAACTTAATTGTACTATTGCCACACATATTCTCTAAGCCAGGTTACTTTAAGAGGAACAATCCTGAGATACCGGCAGTCACTGACAAGAAAATGAAAAATTGAAATGGAATGAAGATCTGGAGCGGAGGTTTCCAACCTTGGCCACTTTAAGACTTGTGGATTTCAACTCCCAGAATTCCCCAGCCAGCCATGCGTGGAGTTGAAATCCACAAGTCTTAAAGTGGCCAAGGTTGGAGACCCCCGATACAGGGTTACCTTGGAGACTCTTCAGCTAAAGGGAATGGCATCCAGACAGAGGCGCTTGGCAACATTATTCACGCACGTACCTTCGGAGAAGAGGCCCCATGGCTATCTGTTTCTGTGGGAGGCCGTGGAAGAGAAGCCAATATGTACTTTGCAGTGGGGATCTTAGCTGGGGGAATGGAATTCCTGCGGACCCTGGATTCATCGTACTTCAGTGGCTCCTCTCCGCTGTTCTTGTAGACGTAAAGATTGTCATCAAGCTGCAATTCTATGTTGCTCCTACAATTAGGTAGCACCATGGCTACTTCAGATCAAAAGGTGGTCTAATCCCAAACATCGTGTTTCCTCCAAGGAGGGAGCCTTTCAGGGAAGATCAGAAAAGAAGAGGCAATGAAGAGAAAATTGCCATTTGAATATGGGCAATTCAAATTCATTCTTTTTCAGGCACCATCAAGTTGTCTTACCAGTTTTTGAATCAGATTTATGGTGCTTTATTCAGAAAACAGATTTAAAGCCGTTCAAACATTTCAGGATTGGGTTTTACCAAGTATATAGGTTGATTATGGAGAAAGTGACAAGGATATAAAACAAACCAGAGATCGGTAACTATGAACCTAAGTAAATGTAGCCTTAAAATGGGGCAGAATAAATTTGAATTTTTTATTTCAGTACCAACTCTCTTATCAATGCCCCAAATGGCAGCTGAGGGACATGAAACATTCAGTATAGAAACAAACATTCACGTTGTCAAAAGCTATATACAGTTTTGAGGCTTCCTGATAATTAGGACATTTCTATCCTTTGTCCAATTTTTGACAACTATTGTGTGGAGTGATGGATTTGTAGTGTCTCAGCCACTGCGTACAATAATGGAGTAGTTCATCAACATCTTGAGGAATACTGGTTCCTCAGGCTTGACCTATTGAACTATCAAGAGCACCCATACTGATGAACAGATAATAAAATAGTATCGTCCTACTGTTGTAGAAAAGAAAGTTCGAGTTGAACAAAATGGACCAGGAGATCAATATTCAAATACTTGTAAGCCAAGAGCACCTACAACTCTGACACCCCAATTTTATCCCAGAAACACCATCTAGGACAGGAGTGTTAAATACTCATCTTTCAAGGCAGATTAGGCTTTCAATCCGGATAACTGTATGCTTACCTACAGAACAAAATGTTGGCCCTGGAGGAGCAGAGGGCTGTCAAAGTAGGTTGCTTATTTCTGTGCCTACCTCGTTGGGGTAGCAGGGATCACCCAGAGCAAAAAAGACTGGATCCCAAGCAGTCAAAAAATCTAGGAAGAATGTTGAGATTTCCCGCCCTTTTAACTGATCGGTTGCTACAGTTCGGCTGTGCGTGGATGCCTGCGTTCAAAGTTGCGTTGGACCGTCCACGGGTTAAAATAATGGGTTTAAAATATGGCTATTTGGTCACATTGGGTGAGAGTATGGGAGACAGACTGATTTTTATATAACGTTCCCTTGCATGTTATTGATGTTTGTACTCCGTTTGCCTAGCCGCCCATCTCAAACCAGTGACAGTGAGTGACAGTGAAGAGCAGATGGCAAAACCAATTTCATGCCAGAGGAGCAGTTCACAGATGGTGAGGGCAATAGATTCTCGGCTCTCTTGCTCTGGATTTAAAGCCCTCTGGGCATATGCCAGGTGAAGAAGAGGGGCCAGGATTTTTCTTCCTGGGGGATGGATTCATCCAGCAGTCAGGCAGGCACACAAATGCCTTTAGGACTTTTTTTGTACCTTTTTTTCTTTCAATATCCTGCCATTGTTTGGATTCGTTTGGGGTGAGAGCTTTCTTGGCTTAACCTCTGGGTAAGGAAGTCCCTTCCCCAAAAAACCCAAAGCCAAGCAACTGGAGAATAGGAAATAACAAATTGCCGTTTTATGAACTCATCCTGCAGGAGCTAGGATGATGCGGCTGCTTTGGCTACATGCAGGAAGCCATATCATTCTGAGGGCCGGGAGTCTGGAAGGCGATGGGACGATGCCCAGTCTAGCCTTCCCCGTCTGGTAGCCTCCGTTGTGTTGGGACAGCAACTGTTAGAACTTCCAGCCTAGAGAATTCTGGAAACAATTGTACCAACAGAGTCAGGGGGCTTCAGATGGGGCATAGCTGACACAAACCATCCCAAACTCAGCTCTGTATTTTACACCAGCTGAAGTTTCAGAAGATTCCTCAAGGGCATCATGGATGAACATGGAGGACAATGACAGGAACGGCCATTTTGGGCTGAGGAGGAGGCAACCAAAGTGGAGTCAAAGCTCTGCTTCCGGAGGTATCCCAACCAACAAATAACTGTCTTTTGCCAGAGACAGAATTCTTTGAGGTAACCAAAATAGCAGCGACACCAAGGAAATAAATGGGGAAGAGGTGGAGATCCTCTCTCTAACTAAAGCAACTAAAGGAATACAAGGAATTGCCAGGGGAACCCCAGACTGGAAGAAGGATCCAAAGAGATATCTTTAGCTCAAACTGTTCTAATAGCAATAGCACTTAGACTTATATACCGCTTCACAATGCTTTACATCCCCCTCTAAGCGGTTTACAGAGTCAATCTCTTGTCCCCAACAATCTGGGTCCTCATTTTATTGACCTTGGAAGGATAGAAGGCTGAATCAACCTCTAAACTGAAAGGAATCAGGAAGCAAGGTTGTATATATCAATTTACATGGCAAGCAGCCCCTTCGGCCTCTACTTTCTATCCTAGACATGGCTGGTGTTATATGGTGCACCTACCTCATCTTTCCTGCAAGATGTGATTTGAGGGCCAGGCCAGGCAGCTCCAAAGTTACCGGGAGGCCTCTTGTTCTGCAGAATCTCCCCTGCTGGTCTTTCTTTGCGACTCCAGGGCCGTCCAGTTGGGCTCAAGACCAGGATGTCAACTTAAGACACATCCCTCTGCCTGAAAGATTTCCATCCATCCTGGAAGGATAAACCTTCTCTTTCTCCCATTCAGAGCCTTCAATATTCACAGAAGTGAGGAAGAGAGCCAGAAAACCGCCTTTCAATTCAGCCTTGCAAGGAGAAGGTCATCAGTTAATCTGCTTCAATGACATGCAGAATTATCTCAAGATGATTTAATCAGAGGGACGCGGGTGAGGAGGAGGAGGAGGAGGAGGAGGGGGGGGACTGCTGGGTGGGAGACTAAAGTGTCCACAGGGTTAATCTGCCAGCACTTCTGTCCTGGGAAGAAAGGTCCATGGGGAGAAGAACCCACTTCTCCTCACTTTTGCCCCCATTTTCCCAGGCTTTGCAAGAGACATTGACGTCTGTGGGACACAGAAAATGCCGAGTGAGAATGACTGCATACAGGAAAGGAAATACCGGGAATAAAATAAAAAAAGAGGCAATCTCGAGAAGAAAATTGGAATTCACCCTGAGTTTCATCTTCTCCACCTCGAAAATTCCTGAAAAACTCCTAACCTGTGGAGAGATTAAAGTCTAATTTTACACCTACACCTGCCTATAAAGGAATTTGAGGAGATGCACACCCAGGCAAGGCTAGGGAGAAGAAAAACCAGTTAACCGAAACGCTTCAGCCTAATCCCCACGAGGGATTCCAGATAGAACATTTGAATGACAAAACCATGATGTGGTGAAAACTTTGGCAAAAGACACAGCAGACTGAGGATCCCCATGAGACTCTCCGTGACTTAATTTCTCATCCAGGACCATTTCACAACTTCTTTCCCTCTTGCAGGCTTTAGGTAAATTTAGGCAATTTTTCCTGCTAAATTCTTAAAACAAGCAAATTAAACACATCTCTGAACACGGGGAACAGAATCACCATCTTGCTCCCCAATTTCATCAGCTTCAGATCCTCAACCCTCTAGGGATAGTCCCTGGTCCTACATGGATACTTCACAGGAAGGAACCCGTCCTAAGAAGGGTCAAGAGGATCCATCAGGAATCAAGCGAGGCCTTGACTCTGTTGAAATTAATATGGAAAGTGGAGAAGATTCTGGAGCGGTGTTTTTCAACCTCAGTAACTTTAAGAAGTGTGGACTTCCACAGTGGGAGTTGAAGTCTACCCCTCGTAAAGTTGGCTGAGGTTGAGAAACCTTGTTCTAAAGATTCCTTCACTTGCCCAGATATGAAATGGAGCAGTATTTTTCTAAGAAGTCACCATGCCAGGCGAGACTGGCATTTTGTCAGCCTTGCAAGGTCCATTTTTCCTTTTCTCTTTCACCTGTCCCTTCAGCAGGAGCCTCTGGGTCCTGAGACTGAGATGGTCCGTGTGCCCTATTGCCACACCTTAGCCCAGTCCTATAGGAAGGGCTTAGGCAATGCATTTGAGCAATTTATGGGTCAGGGGAGGGAGTCAGCAAAATGCCTTCTGCCCCATGCATGTTCCGTCTCTAAGAACCAGTGTTTTGCCCTGGAGCTTTCTTGCAATTGGAGATGGTGCTAAAGGCTTTAATATTAAATCCTGTCCAGTCTAGTAAGAGGGCAAGCCAATAGGGTTGCAGCAAAACCTTGGCTGATGTGACTTGGTCCATTTTTGCAATGAAACGTGTTGATAAAAAATGAAGAGGCACCTTGGCACATCTAGATGAGGCAGAATGGTGAGCTTGGATGCTCTACTAATGCCTGACTGAAGGAAGCTGCACAGGAAGAAACAGAGTGCTCAACCTTAGGAGTTGAAGTCTGACAAGACCCGTGGAGACCCTCAGCAGCCCCTCCTGACCTAAGCCACAGCTGGAACCCTGAGTTTTCTCTTTAAAACAGGAATCAACCCAAGGGTGCAACTTTACAATCCCTCCTGAAGGGATTTCCCAGTTTGAGTTGGGCTTCCCTTGTCCAGGACAGCTGCCCTCCCTCTTTTTCCACCAGGGAGGTATGCATTTCTGGTTGCTACCACACCAAATTCTGGCTCCTGAAATAAACACCAGTCCAAGCTTCAAATTGCAAGAAACAAGGAAGTTTGTTGCTATGTGGAACCTGCATTTAAGGGATATCAGAAACCACTTTGCATCTGGTGAAGGGGGGGGGGGAAGAAAGGTAAAGACGCTATGAAGTCACAGCCAATCACTGTTCTAAATCCAGGCGCCAAGGAGAAGAAAGCCACCAAGCTGTAGTCAAACCTTCCTGGGGAAGCCTCGAAATAGCAGTGGTTAACCCACTGGTTATAAATAGCTGTTGAGCCCCTGTTGTAAACGGCTCAAGGTTTATTAATACACACAGGAAATCTTAATTACTTTGACGGTGCTCTCAGAGAAGAAGTAGCAAGTGGCCTTTGCTGCAATCTTAACTTCCATTCAAGGCACTCCAAGTTGCAACATACCGTACCTTATTCCTGAGAAAGGGCCCTTGTAAGTCCAGTATCAGTATGTCTCAACCTTAACAGCTTTCCAGTGCCTGGATTTCAACTCACAGAATTTCCCAGCCAGTATGTTGGGAGTTGAAGCCCAGGCATTTTAACATTGTCAAGTCGGTCCTATAGACAGAACTCCAGGTTGAATCATTAAGCCAAGTTTGCTTCATCAAGAGTTCATTGCTAATACTTGGAGGTATGGATGGTTGTATTTTCCTGTAAGGCTACCCTTAGAGGCAGTCGTTAGTATCCATGAACTCTCAGACAGACTAGGATGAATGGATTTGATCCACTATTGGCTTTTCTTGGAGTAGACTCAATGAAATCAATGGGATTCAAGGGTTAATTCAATTCTAGTTGATTTATATATGGGTCTGCTCTGGGTATGATTCAAGCTGTCCTCTCTGTTCATTCCTCAAGATCTAGTGCTACTAACAGTGCTGTGTTTTCCTCTTTGCATAAGTCATCCTGTGCCCTGTTGAATTTCATCATCCACTTGTTCTGCCACTCCTGAATTTTGGACCCAGGTTTTGGGACAACTGGTTGAGTTGACCTGAAATTTATTTTTCTGTTTGCATTGTCACAATATGTCTTGAAAGATGCCAGCCTCTCCCTTTGGTTCCGTGAATTTTTATACCATTCAGGTTTCTGCACTCGTGTTTGAGTTATCTCCGGCTCAGGTGAGCCAGGGAGCTGTGCTGGCATCATCTGCCTAGGTCAATGTTGCATTTCAGGGCCTGGGATCTGAGTGAGACTCTTTAACTGTTGGAGTAACATTAATTGTCCTGTTGCTGTTGTTATTGTGCTTTTCAAGTGACTAACCAGTATGTAAAGGGAGCTGGATACGAATTGGGTTTTGCTTTAATTTGTTTTAAAACAATGAAAGAAGAAATCACTGCACAAAAGAAAAAAAAAGCAGAGAAAAGACATTGTCAATGGGAAATAAAATATTGGAATATGTTAACAATGCTGTACAAATAGTCCTTGACCTATGACCACAATTGAACCCAAAACTTTTGTTGCTAAGCGAAATATTTGTTAAGCGAATTTTGCCCCATGTTACAACTTTTCTTGCCACAGTTGCTAAGTGAATCACTGCACTTGTTAAGTTAGTGATAGGTTGTTAAGTGAATCTGGCTTCCCCATTGACTTTGCTTGTCAGAATTTCACAAAAGGGGATCACATGACCCCAGGACGCTGCGACCATCATAAATACAAGTCAGCTGCCAAGCATCCGAATTTGGATCATGTGACCCGGGGGATGCTGCAACAGTTGTAAGCGTGAAAAACAGTCATAAGTCACTTTTTTCAGTGCCCTTGTAACTTTGAATGGTCACTAAATGAACTGTTGCTAATCGAGGACTGTACATCCTTTGTTCCTATCACTGGTCCTTTGATTTGAAAAAGTTGTCCCTATTTGAGAAACAGTTGTAAGTTGTAAGAAATGGCCACTCTGACCTTGCACCTTCTACGTTTTTCTTGGGAAAAAATGTGGGATTTAGTCTTGACAGCAAAGATTAGCAGCAAGGGGTAAAGTGGTTTGGTTAGAGGAAGCAGATAATGAAGGTATGTTTGTTCTCCTGCTGAATGGATGCTAACTGCTAGAAGTATAATTACCTGTGCCGAATATGGAAAGACCGGGGCAGGCACACCCAGAGAGAGAAAAACCGGGACTAACTCCCTGCTCAAAAGCTCAAATAAGCACTCACCTTAACATTATAAACTGGACCTGGGAGCCTTTTTCCTCAACAGAAGCAGCCAGGAATCCCACAGGAGCCAACTATTCCTTCCAGCAATACATTCAAGATAACTTCTTTGCGTCGCCATCATCAATCGCAATGTTATGGTTTCTGGTAACTGGAAAAAGCGCCTCTCAAGTGGCTTTTTGCTGCAAGAAAAGCCTGGAATTTGTCCCTGAATCATCTTTCAAGAGAGATCAGCTGTGGAGGGTGCAGGTTTTATTTTGTGCCTAAAAGAAAAGAAGATACGGTGGTTGGTTTTTCATGAAAAGGTCATAGGAATTATTTTTCTTTTAAAAAACTGAAAGGTGAGGTTTTCTTTTCTACTTACTTATTTATAACCGATGTTAGCCTTGAAGAAGTACCAGAATTCCTTCCAATCTAAAGATCAAACTCCTGGAAGAGGAAATACATTAGCAGCGGCAACAGCATCTTATTTTGTAACAGAAGAAAGAGAGTAGGAAAGAGACAGTAATCCTGCAATAACAAGGAAAATCCTTTGAAGGTAGACCTTGTTTGTATGTTGGCTTATAGAAGGCGACACGGGGAAGCAGTCTGTGTGAAGTCCATTCTCTCTCTCTCTCTCTCTCTCTTTTGCAACACAACCAGCTTACATAAAGGAATGTAAGTGCAGGTTTATTGACATTTATGAACTGGGGACGTGCAGGTTTATTGACATTTATGAATTGGGGACATAGCTTGTAACCAATGAAACTCATTATTTGTTACACCATCCAAGAAATGAGATCCAGGATTTTAGTCCTTTGGTATCATCTTCGGATGGCTTTGTTTGTTTAGCTTGCTGAATGCAACACATCTTGTGCTAGAAGGGGATTGCAAGGTAGGTTTCTGGAGTTCAACAGTGAGATTTCTGCTTTTGGGATTTGGAAGTTTTTTAAGCCAGAAAGCAGAGGGTTTTTTTTTTAAAGAAACAAATAAGGCCAACCAGGTATGAAAAAAGGCTTGTGGCCACACCCAAGAATTAATGCTATCAGATTCAGTTTCTCCACCTATTCTGTTCTTAAGAAAGAAAAATATTGGCACCACAAAAGATCTATTCTGGCCTTACAGCCAATTATAGCAGGTTCCTGACAGCATAAAATGCTGCAGGAACATTTTCATCCAAGCTTTGGACAGAGCTCAAAAGTCAGCATAAGAAGAGGTACCCAACAGCCAAGATATGAACTGGCACCAGAGCACCACCATTCAGTTGAGTGGACTAATTGTCTCCCTCTTTGGTTGGGTCTTGTCATGTGTTACGACTTACGTGCCTCTCTGGAAGAGCCTCAACTTGGAATTAAATGACCTTGAAGTCTGGAATCTGGGACTTTGGCAGACCTGCGTCAGTCAGGCAATCACGCAGTGTGAGAACTACGCTTCTCTTCTGGCCCTGCCTTTGGAGATCAAGATTTCCAGGGTGCTTATGGTTACTTCCAACGGACTGGGCTTCCTCGCCTTCTCCTTGGCCCTTTTGGGATCAAACTGCCTGAAGACAAGTGACCCAAGACAGAAAAGACACTTTGGGATTACAGGCGGGATTCTCTTCTGTATCTCTGGAATAACAACTCTTGTTCCCATCTCCTGGTTTGCCTACAACACGGTGCAAGACTTTTGGGATCAAACCGTACCAAATGTTGTCCCGAGGTGGGAATTTGGCGAAGCGCTTTTCCTGGGCTGGTTTGCTGCATTTTTCCTCCTGTTAGGTGGCTGCCTTGTAATCAGTGCTGCCTGTTTCCTAAAGACCCCGAAGGCATCTAAGAGGCCGGCCATCCACCATAAAGCAGAGATAGCCACACTCGCCATCCGGCACCCACACTCATCACCTAAAAATGCAGACCTTGTCATCTGATGCACCTTCCTGAGTGTCTAGATCTCACCTGGAATGGGATGATATATCAACATGTGGAATATTAAAGAGCTGTGATTTAGATTTCTGCAAAGGATGGCTGGGCAAATCACATTGACAAGGGGACAACCTAGCATTCTATTGTGTCGTGTAGCTTTTTGTCCATAATTGCAAATAAGGAATGTATTGAGTATGTACTGTTTGAGGGTACTCGAGCCTGTATCTGCTCTGATGTAGAAGACAATGCTTTCTTCTCCTCCCTGCCCCCACATTTAATCTTTTGGAGAAGAATGAGGTAAAAACATTCTGTTTACTGATGGAAGGAATGTTGGTCAAGGAGGATAGAATGTCTGCAAAATAAAGGTCCATTCAACAAGCATTGTAAGGCTTTAAAAAAGCAATTAAGGGCTTACAAGAAATTGGAACTCTTCTACTTTGCATAAGAGACAGATCAGTAATCTTGAGTGGAGACTTTGGGATATCCTGTTTCAGAAGAGGGTAGAAGGAAGCAGTCCATAAATCTAGGCATTAGGGAGCTTCCAGGGATGAATTCAGGAGCGAGCCTTGTTTGGTTCAGTGAACTTTCCTTTCAAATTTGATGCCTTCTTAAGGCAACCTGTCATCAACAGGAGACACAACAGCTGGATTGTTGTGCCACCATTTTCTATAGAAAGGTCATGTAGGAAGAGTTATCAACTTCAAAACAGTTCTAGATTCAGCCTTCTGCAATCAGAGGCATGCACTGGCACTTTGAAGATTACAGCCAGAGGTGATGAAGCAATTTATTTATTCCCCAAATCTAAGGAAATTAAGAGGTTGTTGGGTTTTGTATGTGAAATAACTGCAAGAGGCAGGCCTTAAGTCTTCAAAATTATTGCTGAAAGTTAAGAGAAGATGACACTGTATTTTTCAGGGATAGAAAAAACTACAAATATCTTTAGGGTAATATTTATTGCACTTTGAAACCAGAAATCTCATCAGATTTGTATTTTCATCTCAATTTGTTAGCGTTCTAATAAAACAGGTTGCTTTAAAAGATCTTGAGGAAAAATATAACCATTAAAAGTGTGACTTATTCAACTTGGTTTTATCCTGACTTCAGTGCGTACTTTGCCAATACTACCCTGGTAATTAAACTTCGGTGATTGACATTCAAGAAATTATTTGGGGGAAGGTTCAAGGAAGCTGCTTCTGATCTCTCCGCTCTGCTGATTCTGCATTACTGTCCTCCGGCACAAATGCCAGTTCCTAAACCAGCAGCCAGGGCAGCAGCTGCATGCCAAGTGGTTCACCCATAAGAATGGCTGCCTAAGAGAGCAGATGGACTGCTAACACATGTATGGTCTCACTGCGAATAAACCTGGTTTACAATTAAAGTTCCTTTACCAAAACTGCCCCACGTGCTATTTAACCCTCTGGCGATGACTTGACTTATGCCTGAACTTGCTATGCTTGAAAGACAGCGAGGGTCAAGGCCCCTCGCCAGTATTCCACGCAGTCCTCCTCACAATCAGTTGCACTGCTGTGGGCTGATCCGTTCATGGAGCCCAGCAGTGCCCAATTAACACATGGGAGACCAGCGGGGGGGACGGGGACAGGCAGGTGCCTTTAAAGTTAAAGGGGTCCACACAACAGAATGCTCTCAAGAAGCACCTTAAACAACTGGCCAGATAAAGCACCCACTTGGCAAGATGGAATTGTCTATATACAACGCTTAGTTTAAAGTGGCAGAGTTCTTCCAAAAACGCCCCCAAGCTCCTTGTAGGAACTAAAGTCAATCATTAACGGGGAACCTCACTGGGCATTCCAAAACCCATGTCTGCATGCAGCTGGTGCACGTCCAAGAGCCCCACACCTGCCAGCTCTTCCCTAGACATGCACTGCATCACTGTTCAGGCTGAAGGTGGAGTCTTTCAGCACAGTCCCTCTCCTCAAGGAGCCTTCCCAGAGTTGTCTGCCCCCCCCCCCCAGATTCCACTCCTGGGGGGCTCAGGGGCCTCCAGGGTTTAAGCCGAGAGGGCTCGCTGCCTTATTTCACGGCCACCGCCGAGGCCCCGTGAATGGACTCCATAACAGCTGCAAACCGGCTGCAGAGATCGTAGGGCGAGTTGGGGCGGATCTTGGGGGGTTCCTTCAGAACCACTCCTTCCGGAGAACAGTCCAGCAGGCGGGGCAGAAATTCACCCAGCTTCATTTGCAGCTTCTCTGCAGGAGAAGAAAGAGAACATTATGGGAACCCAGCAAGCTGGCTCCTTTGAAGTAGCTTCTCAGTAGCTCCATAAGATGGAGGAGATACCTCTGCCGGTCCCTCAGGTCCAGCAGGAGAGGCATGTGGCAGGCCTGCCAAAGAGTTTCACCTAGAGCACAGGGGTCAAACTGCCGGCCCACAGGCCAGTTTCATCATACTGAAGCCGCACCCACCCCATTGCCGGCAATGCAAAAAGTTGTGATACGTCACGACACGTCACATGACGTGGCAAGTTTGACACTCATGACCTAGAGGAACCTGGAAGAGGGGGGGGGCTTCAGCTGTGGCTTTTGCCCTCTGGAACACCCCAAGGGGAGGTTAGCCCCATCCCTGCCAGGAACCCCCGAGACCCCCCCGAGAGGGGGAGCTTGTGAACTGGCTGTTTTGTCTTTGGGCGGTTTTTATTCCCCTACAATCTTGGTTTTCTTTATGCTTAATTGTTTTAATGCTTGTTGTATTGTTTTAGTGGTGGTTGGTTGTATGTTACCCAGAGTTGCATTCGGTGGGTTGGGCAGCTATATAAATTTCTACATAAATAAAAAATACAGCAGCTTCCAGATGACCATATTTTCTTTAGCTGTTTCTGTTCCCAAGAATAAGCCTTTCCTCTGCAGAGCCACCTGCCTTCCAGCTGTACGATTTCTTGTCTCAAATTTCCGTGAGAAAACTTGATGGGCTGCACTTTTCATGGCTCAGCTGAGGAACTGGATCACCAGGCTCAGCCTGCTGCCATGAAAATGGAGTAACAAGTACTATCCTGGGTGCAGAAATGTGCACCTAACCACTTCAGGCCACAGAGAATGCTTGCTGCAACTCCTCACCAAGAAGCAAGCTCAGGCATGCCCCCTCCCTCAATAGAGGAAGCCGCTGAAACTTGCTTGCACTGGAGTAACCATCAATTGACAAGCTTCTCCTCTTAAAGTCACAGAGAATTCCAGGTCCGGGATTTGAATATATCCAGGACTATCAACAACACAGAATGTAACATGACTAAAGTGGCCCTCCAGAGGGAAATCCAATCTTCCATCATCTTCGCCACCTTTGCAGCGTTGGTAGAGCTAGCAGAGATGGCTAAATTAACTCCTTTTATGAAAAAAAAATCCAATTTCATCTCTGCTTGGAAACTGCTTCTAGATGCTGTGCTTCTGACAGGGAAAAAAAAATGCAATCCTGATTTGCTGATAAGTTTGTTGCGATAGAAATAGCTAGTGTATTCCAAGTATGCAAAACTAAAAAGTTGAGGCTGAAATGTTATTACCTTTATTCTACTGCACTGAAAAAAATTAGAAGTTTAATGCTTTTCTTTCTGTTGTTTTCAACTGACACTTTGCACTCTTCGCTCCCCCTTCCCCGTTGTCCTACTATCTTTATTTTTACTTGTATTTCAGGATCACCAACGTCCGATAATGGATATGGTAGGAGGAGGAGGAGGAGGAGGAAGAAGAAGAAGAAGAAAGCCCAATAGATAAAGTCAAGCTGCATGAATATGCAGATGTTTTCTTACAAGTACCAATAAATAGAACACAGAGAGGCAACTAAAGTAGGTAGAAGAAAGTTGGCAGCGTGCCCAGGACACCTTTCTTACCACCCACATCCTTTCCCAGGTAGGCGCACCAGCGATTCCTCATGACCTCAATGGCATCCAGGTCGTCTCTGGAGACATGGTTGTTCATGATAAGGTGCATGCAGGGGATGATCAGCTCGTTCAAGACGCTCACCCCCTCGTCCACTTCCTTCCCGTTGCTGCTTTCAAAGAGGGCAGCTGCGGCGTCGTTCAGCCTCTGCAGCAAAGCAACGTCAGGAGTCGGTTGGTAAGGATCCAGAGAGGCCCGTCCCAGCATTCAGACAGCACATTTTAAAACAACCGAGCATGGGTATTTTGCCCAGCTGTGCCTTTTCTAGAAAGCAGAGTTTCTCAAGCTTGGCCACTTGAAGATGGCCGGAGGTCAACTCCCAGAATTCCCCAGTCAGCCACGCCTCTTAAGGTCAGTAAGGCTGAGAAACACAGTCCAATTAGTGCAGTGTTTGTCAAATGTGGCCACTTGAAGATGACTGGGGGGTTCTGGGAGTTGAAGTCCAGCCATCAAGAGAACCTGTTACATACAGAATCTGCCGGGGAGGGCTGGAAAAAAAAAAAAGGAAATAGCCAAAAGAATTACCCCAAAGTTAAACTGGTCTAGCTGGTATATGCTTCCAAATTTTAAACAACTTCTAAATTAAGAGGGGCAGGTTGGAAGGATAATCATTTGCAGGCACCTGATACGATCTTTTTCAAAGGCAGGCAGTCCTCAGCTTATGACCACAATTGACCCCCAAATTTATGTTACTAATTGAGAAATTTGTTAAGTGATTTTTGCCCTATTTTATGACTTTTCTGGCCACATTTGTGAAGTGAATCACTGTGGTTCTTAAATGAGTAGCACGGTTGTTAAGTGAATCCGGCTTCCCCCTTGACTTTGCTAGTCAAAAGGTCGCAACAGGGGAACACGTGACACTGCAGCTGCATAAATGTGAGTCAGTTTTCAAGTTTCCCAATGTAAATCAGGTGACCGCGGGGATGCTGCAATGGTCGTAAGTCCCTTTTTTTCAATGCCGTTGTAACTTTGAACAGTCACTAAATGAACTGTTGTAAGTCGGTGACTGCCTGTAACTACAGCGATGTAAGGAGCATTCGGCAATATCCCATTTTCAATCTAAACCCAGACGACAGCGAGAGGAATGATTTGAACACCCTGCCTCCGATCCACAGAGGGGGAAGGAGGGGAGGGGTCCCCCAAATACCCACCAAGAGGCACTTCCTTCTGTAAAGAGCGATCAGGGCGGAGTCCGCGCCCCGGCTGGGCCCTTTGGCCTGCAGGACAGAGTTGGTCTCATAGGCGTACACCAGATAGGTCAGGGCCTCGCAGTACCTGAGGAGGGCAAGAAAAAAGGGCGGGTATGTGCCTCACGTCCGGCCACTGTGATGGATGGACACAAACATACCCGGTGTCAGGCTCAACCCTCGGACCATCGTTTTTATTTGGTTTATTCTAGAGCAGGGGTCCCCAACCCCCAGTCTGTGGACCAGTACCGGGCTGCAGCGTGCCAGCAACCGGTCTGCACAGACAAGCAAAGCCCTATCCGCCGGATGCAGGCAGCACACAAAACCACGTCCCCTCCGGTCCATGGAAAAACCTCTCTCCATGTGAACGGTCCCTGGTGCCCAAAAGGTTAGGGGCCTCTGTTCTAGAGGTAAGAGGCTTTATCAAGGGGAGTTGAAGTGAAGTAAAGAAGTTTTAGAATGTCTTTCTGAACTTAAAATCACCAGAAATACATCATTGTTTTGATCCAGTTAGGAATAGCAGAAGGTAGGAATACCAGCAACTTCAGGGAGCCCTTCACAAGTGCAGGAGGAATTTGAACAGCCTGCCTCTGTTCCCAACAAATCTCTCATGACAACGTTCAAGGTGTTTGGAGTCACACAGATTTCTGGACAAAAGAGAACTTTTATTATTGTTTATTAAAATTGAGTAGTTTCTCCTCATATTGTACAAAACCGCACAACCATTCAGCTAAGTGCATAAAACAGAGGCAGAGCGGCCCAAACCCAACTCTGCCCACTTGCAAATAACTTAAGACATGTGGGGACCACACACAACACATTGACAACCTTACACGGTGCGTCTGTCGAAACATCAACTCAACAGGCCCGAAGTCTTCAGCTGCCTCTAAAATCTGAGCTGAGGAACTTACTGGTTCTTCTGATACAGCTCCAACCCGGTCAAGAGATAAACGGACACCTTGCGGAACAAGCTGTAGTCTTCGTGCCATTTCTGCCCAGAAACAGAAAACACAAGCCTGGCGGTGGTTACGTTCAACTTCCTCCCCTCCCTTCTTGGTGCTTGCAGCCCCAGGCGGTCTCCGGCCTCCCCAGGTGATGCCAAGCCACAGCCGAGGTCGGTTATTCCATGTAGGGGCATCTTGTGGCTTAAAGGTGAGCTACTGGACACGCTCAGCCAGCACTCCCCAAAGCAGCAGCAGTACAAGTGCTATTTCAACACAGCAGGCTGTGACAGAGAATCGGGAGCCAGCCTGCTTTTCACAAACGCTCTGTATCTGTGTGTCTGGTTTGAAAATCAGGGCTTCTTACCTTGTACTCTTCCATGTCCACCTCATCTGGGCCAATTCCTTTCAGCTTTTCTCGTGCCACCTTCATAATGCTAATTGATCTGTTTCCCAGAACAGAGAGAAGGAACAATGGGAATCCAGGTGGTGGCATCCAGACAAATATTTAAATTTAATTTGCTTCCATCAAAACTGAGGATAAGTGGTTTTCCAGCAATTCCTTCAATGCCTGGAACCTGATGATGGTTCCTTTATGTCTCATGCTTGTCCCAACCCTAATGAAACCCCTGCAAGCAAACCGCCAAGCTCAGAGAGCATCAAGGACTCCGAAGTTCAACTGTGGGCTACAAATCACTTCTTTTGGTATTGCGTCCCTCTCCACCAGCTTTGGACCAACCTTTCATCGTAGCTGAGGTTTCTGTCTGCAAACTGCTCCAGGAGAGTCCGTTCCACCACCTGCTTTGGGGCGCTGTTCTGCAGCAAGTAAACTAAGACATGCTGAAGGCGGGGGTCACTCTGGGGCGTTGGGGTCTCTCTTGACAACGAGTAGAGTCTGGAATATTCTTCACGGAATGCCTGGGGAAGTTGGTGGTCAAAACTTTATCATTCTGGCTCATTATGAATCCACAACACAGATGCTTCCTTTGTGTTGCAGCTGATTTCAAGGGGAAGGAGATTTTTTTTTTCTCCCTGACATGTGACAGGAATCTACAGGAATCTGCTGGATGCGGCAGAGAAAGCACAGGAATCTCTAAGTTAGTAGCATGAACAAACATCCTGAACAGGTAATCAGTCCAGTGTTAAAGATGAAGTGATTACCCTTTATGATGGTCTAGCTTTTTTTTAGCTCAGTTTATTTTTTGGTGTTTTCCTATTTTATTGTTCTTCAATGTTGATCAGAAAAGGCTGCTTGTATAGCACAGATGTATTCTAAGTGTCTAGAATTCCTACAGTTGTAAAACACAATGGTCACTTCAGATGCTAATGGGCACCTTAAGGTGTATATGATCTTGGACAGATGAATAAACAATTCATGAAGTTTATCTTGAAGATTTATTTTTTCTAACTGTGGAAAGGATTTCCACAAAGGAGTTGGATAACTCCTACTTTCTGCTTTGAATCAAGACTTCCAGATTTTTGGAATTTCAGCCGGGAAGATGAACCTTCCCTAGGTAGAATTTTTTATAAATACGAAATGGGCTCAGATATCAAACAGATACACTGCATTAGTAGGCAGAGCAAGTAATCACCTCTGGCTTCCATTTCTTTTAATGTCCCCTCTTCTCTACTGGATTAATGCTATATTAAGCCTAAAACTCTCCCCCCAAAGGACAAAAGCACCACTCCTGCAGAACTTGGCATCCAGCTGACCACCTGGCCACCACCTGCCTCTACATCCCATCCCATTCCAAGACAAAAGAGGGAAGCAAGGCAGACAGGCCCCTGACCCAGAGAATATACCTCATCCCTTGTGGACAGAAAAAAACAGACATGTACGCTTAGGTGTAACGTACTACCTTGACTAGCCCTGCTTCAGACCCATCGCGATCAAAGGTCTGACGAGCTTTAGCAATGGCCAGGATCACCCCTTGCATGGCGGGGCTAAGCATCACCTGCCACGGAGAAGAGAGGAGAGAGGGAGAGAGAGAGAGAGAGAGAGAGAGAGAGGAGGGAGGAAAGAGGCTGGATTGAAATAAGCTCTCCATTATCCCACAGGCAAAAGAGCCAAGTTCAGCTTAGGGAGGATATTGTTTGGGTGGGTCCCCATATCCAGATCCTTGGAAGGCGACTGACAGAAGAGAATCTTTATAGCTCAGGATTGAAATGTGGGGTCCTTGGTACTCTCTGAGCTTGGTTGTGATCTTGCAGACATTTCATGACCAACTAGGTAACATCATCACTGCTAAAAGGGAGTGGGGTTTGCACTTCTACTACTGATGACGTTACCTAGCTGGATCATGAAATATAACACAAGATCCCAACCAAGCTCAGAGAGCACTACGGACCACACAGATAACCAAAAGCGATAAAATAAGGAGCCACGTAGCCTTTCCTTACAGCACAATCACATTTTACAGGCAGACCCGGATATGATGCACGATGTTAGCTCAGTTGTATATTGATAGCCAGCCATCAATAAAACTGCATGGGACAGCAGAGGAAGTTTCAAAGTGTGGCCGGGGTTTTCCATTTTGTGAAGGAGGCCATCAGGAACAGAACAGCTCTTGGGGCCAGGGGTCGGGCAGTTTCTTGCACATAAACCCTGTGAGGCTCTGGAAGGCTGGGCCGATTCGTCCAGTTTCCCCAGTTCCCAATCAGGCCACCCAAGCTCTCTACTCCCAGGGCTGCCCCCGCAGTGACGGTACCTCCTCGTTATAGCCGTCCGCATCCGACCTAACGAGGATCTTCCCCACACTGGGGATCTCCACCTCCGAGACTTGAGAGCTGGGTGGGGCAGAAGGCTCCATCCGCTCCGCTTCCTGGGGCTCTTCTGCCTGCGCCGTGGGGTTGCCTTCCTCTGAGGGGGCCTTCTCTGGATCTGCCTCCTTGGGCTGTGGCAGCACCGGGGGGGGGGGAAGAGGAGGAGGAGGAGGAGAAGGGAGTGAGAGGAAGGCAAGAGGAGCAGCAACAGAGGCCCAAAGAGGGCAAGAGGCTCAGCAGGACAGGCAGGAAGAGGACCACCGATGAGGACCCTCACCTGGTCCAGAGCGGCCGGGATGCCATCCTTCTCGTAGACATCGGCCGTCTTGGCGATGGCTTGGGCAGTCTGCTCCTTGGCCATCACGGCGTGCTCGGAGGAGAGCGAATGTGGCCCACCCTCGCAGGGGAAGGAGTGTTCTGGAAGGAGAAAGAGCGGAGAGGAATTTTCCAGGTTTTATGCTCCCCAAAGATATTACGGGGAGCTGTTGATGTTGGCAGGACCCAAATCTACAGCTAAAGGATGCCGGGGTAGTCTCCAGAAGACTTCCAGAAAAAAAGGAGCTACTAAACAGCGCCCACATTTAGCGTAGGGAAGATTCAGGGGGAAATGTAAATTTAGGAGCCTGCCCCAGCTAGGACTCCCTGCAAGGATCACACACGTTTTGGTCACCTCCGTTTTACCCATATAGAGTCAATGAGGACCTTCTGATCCAAGGGGGTTCTCCTTCTGGAACCAGGGCCACAACCTTCGTGGACTTTAGAACCCTTAGTGTTTATTCTCTTGCTGCAACCACAGACACAGGTAAGCTTGCAACACAAGAAGGCAGTTCTAGTACATTTGAGGGAACCGCCCAAAACAGATGGAACAATATCTTGTGCTGTTCTCTGCTCACAGGCCCACAAATGTGTTTCTTTTAGCCTGATCAAAGCTCTTTATGCTTTTTTGCGTGACAATCATTTCCTGGCCTGCAATTTCACTCCCTGTTTGCTAGTAGGGTTTCTGAACGGAGTGGGCCTTTTTCTCACCTTGGCTTGAGTCAGAAGACAGGTTCTGAGACTCCACAGGGGCGGAGGATTGCTCTATCTGGGCCATTTTGCAGGACTGTTCTTCCAGTTCAGCCATCTCCTGTTCTACCCTCCAGTTGTCTTCTTCGATGTAACGCTGAAGTTCCAGAGGCAGCACTTCTACTTCTCTCTCTGGTTGCCCATCATCATAAACTACCAAAGAAAGATAAGCAGAGGTTCCCCAAGGAAGACACATGGTTAACTTTCGTAGTTTGTAACCTGTCCTTTGCTCTTATATTGGGATGCTGGGGCCACAAGTTGCTACTGGTGGTCATGATGGTTATATACGGTCTCCAGCATCAAAGACCAGCTGTTGAGAACAGACTTGTGGTGCCTTGTGTGCACGTACAGGACCAAGTAGATGAAGAGTACAGAGTCCCATCTCTTTCCTGCCTTCGCAACCCAACGATTTATGAACTGCCTCTACGTATATTTGGGCCTTCAAGTCAGTCTCGATTCCTGGCAATTGCCTGGACAAGTTCACCCAGTTTTCCTGGCAGCATTTTCGGAAGTGGTTTGTCCCTGCCGTCTCCAACTGGCCCCAGGCTGCTTACCGAATCCTAAGTTTATTCCTCTTGGAACTAAAGTGAGGCTGCTTCCATCCCAAATACACAGAACCAGGATGGAGAGAGAGATTCTCCCCAAGGGCCATTCATTTCAAGGGATGCATATCTCCTCCACAAAGGTACAGGAGAGGAGACCATGGTCCACTCCTAACCAGAGGACAGGAAAGCTCTTCTCAAGCAGCCCTTCTTAACTTATGCAGGGGCATCCAGCCCCCAAGAGGGAAGAGGCATCATCAAGAACTGAGTTCAGATCCTCACCTGCTGCGAAGTGTGGTAGTTTTTTACTAACATAAATGAGGCAATAGGCGCTAGTGTTTTTCAAGCCCCCAAACGAATCCCTTTCCAGTTCTTCCCAGGAGGATTCTGTCACGGCGATGTCGTTGTACTTAAGCCAGGTCTTTTGAGGCAGGCCGTAGATGTAGGCCCAATAATGGCCAGCATTGGCCTGGCCTTCGTGGACCAACACAGCATGCAAGCGATAAGGGACCTGGAAAACACATACACAAACGCAGACACCATCGGTTTTCAGGTTTATTTTTATCAGGTGAAGTAACATGACCACGGGAAGATTTGATGAGGCAAATTCTCAGCTGTTGCGCCTGTTAAGAATGATCCATTCATATAATCAAGGCTTAGCACAGATTCTTTTCCTGGGGGAACAACAAGGCTTTAGATGTTGGTAAGCTGGGCTGCAGAGACCGTTGTGGCCAGAACAGTCAGGGCCACGGCCAGCTACCAATGACACGTCCAACCGAGTGGCACTCAGTGGAAGCCATTCGCCAGAGAGAACTCTTGCAACTAACAGGACCTTGATGTTTGATCCTGCTGGGGATGGAACAGCAAAACACTGTACAATCTGGAACACGCCCAAGCTCCTCTTTGTTATGTACCAAACTTGGCAACTTTAAGACGTGTGGACTTCAACTCCCAGGATTCGGATTCCTCATCTTGGCTGGCTGAGGAATTCTGGGCACTGAAGTCCACAAGTCTTGAAGTTGCCAAGTTTGGAGACCCATGTACTAGAGAGAAAAGGCAGGAGCAATCCCAAAAAAACCCAGGTTCCAGCTCTTCCATTAAAATGCTCAGCCTCTTTTGCGAGACAACAGTGAACCAACCATGCCAGGTGTGATACTCAGAAGTTCCACCTTGCATTTCAGTGTGTGGCAAAAAAAACAGCAGGTAGATGCAAGTGCCTGTGGTTTAGCTTTGACTGACATGAACAAATCATTTTCAAAAACAAGGTAAAGTCATTGTTTGTAAGAGAATATAGAGTCTGAATTCCCAGGTATTCCCAAATCCTGGAAATTTAGTCTGAGACCTCCAGGCTAATTTTATACGGAGGAATAAATTACCTTATCTGAAAAAAATGAAAAGTATTAATTAATTCAACCATGAATCCCTCTCTTATATGACAAGATTTTATTTCTGGGGAACCGGTGCCAATACGATGTCAGAAGCGCTCATACAACCAGGAAGACTGGCAGACACCCTACCTGGCAGAGTTGAGGATCAGCATAGACATGATCCATCGACTCAGAAAGCCTCAGCATGGAAGTCTTCAAGTCTGTTAATCAAAGCAAAACAGTAAGCCAGCGAGCAACAGTTATGTTTTCTTAAAGAAAAGGTAAGATTTGCTTTACCAATCTCTAAAGATGCTTCTCAACTAGTTGTGCAATCAGGCCACCTAAGAGATGTGTGATCACAGATGTCCTCAATTGCATGTCAGGACATTTTGTGGAAAGCAGGGCAAAGACCCCATTCCACCCCCACCCCCCCTGGAGACAAACTGGGGTAATGCTCATATTCAAGGAAAGGCTGGCCCTGAATGATGGCTGGATCTAGAGAGGCCACTTGGATGATTCAAGAGTTTGAAGATGTTCCTCTTTGGCCAGACAAGGTGTTGTCCTTTGCCAAGGAAACTTCAGCCATGAAAACTGCAAAATGCTCTGAGAGAGATCAGTTATGATTTCCTGATCACATCCCATGAACATAAAAAAAGGAGACTTAATACTGTGACAGGCACATGGCATCGATACCTTGCCCCCTTCTCCAGTTCGGGTAAGAACGGAATGGAAATCAGCCCTTATGCAAATAGGGTGCATATCTCAGCTGCTAAACAACAACTCTTGAATGAATGTGAAATCTCTGGGCACAGACCTTCCATGTCTTGCTCAGCCTCCTCCCTCCACTGCTGCAGGCAGGAAATGACCAGACTCATCTCATCTTCGGAGATGGCCCGAGGAGGAAGGGGCTCATCTGACGTCTCCCCTGGGCGCCTGGGTGGAGGGAAAGAGGGGCTCAATCAGCTGCTGCCTCTCGGCCTGGGCTGCTAGCGCTACTCAAAAGCCAGAGATGGCAACAAGACGGAAATCAGGAGGATGGATTTAAAAATGCAGCTGATTGGGACCTACATGCATTTTTCTTTGAGTTTCTAGACCTCCCTCCCCCCAAACAGGCATAATTTCTAGGAGGCAAAACAATCGGATTTATCATCTGATTGTTTCAATTTAGATGCAGCAATGATGGAAAGCCACACCAAGCTTGGCCCAGTTTTACCTGCTTGGCTTGCTATGCGTTTCCGAGGATTCTTTTTCTGCCTTCGTTTCTGCTGTTGTCATAGTTGCTGCGCAGGAAAGTTTGGTCCTGGCAAATTCAAGAACGGACTGCAGCATATCCGGCAAAGGGAAGCGGTCTGTGCCAGAACCATATCTCAGGTACCTAATTAGGAGCAAACCATCATCAGACCCACTTCAAAATCATCAGTCTTCCCTAACTCAATTAAGCAAGGCCTTCCCTTTCAACGGGATCAAACAGCAATAACAATATAGCAATTAATAGACTTATATACTGCTTCACAGTGTTATACAGCCCTTTCTAAGTGAGCATATTTGCCCCCAACAATCTGGGTCGTCATTTTACCGACCTGGGAAGGATGGAAAGCTGAGTCAACCTTGAGCTGATCAGGATCGAACTGGTGGCAGTGAGTTAGCCTGCAATACCGCATTCTAATCGCTGTGCCACCAGGGCTCAAAACTACACCAGTGATAAAAGGGTTATTTTCCTTTGCCCCTTGAACATGGGGCAAATATTAAATCATGGTTGACTACTGATATTTTTGGATATAAGTCCTGTCCTGCTCCTGGGCCTCTTCGAACAGATTCTTCAAATGGTACAAGAGACAGAAGCCTCTCCTTCCGGGCCTGCATTACAGCAGTCGAACAGAGAATGGGCTGGCCAGCTGCAGAAAGGGATGGCAGGTTGGCTGTCTATATCTGAAGAACAACCTTGTGCAGCTCTCCAGAAAATCTAAAATAAATCTACATCGGTAGAGGCTTCTACAAAGCTTCATCACAATACCCCTGTCCAAGGACAGACAGACAAGCTGAAAGCTGGGTTTTTCTCCCCGACAAGAAAGTGGGAAACAGACGCCAGTTGGCTAAGCCTCAGCTCATCGAATCCGCAAGGCAAAATTCAGAGTTTGAGGGAGACTACATACTTTTCCAATTGCTGCTGTAGAATGGCCATCTGTTCTTTCAGTTTCCTGATCTCTTCTCTTTTAGCTTGAATAATTTCTTTATTGTCATACATGAACCTAAAGGAAACATAGTTTTGACAGCTGCGTGCTCTCTCTTAACACAACCCCACAGTATCTTTTTTGCAGGTTTGAAAGTCTCAAGCCACAAAGCTTTTTTTTTTTTTTTTTTTACCTATCCATGTAAATGACTGGCGGGAATTCTAGCTTGTTGTGAATCTTCTCTGGCTGCCCGAGGGACTGATTGAACTCAAAGCGGGAAAGTTCAAAGGTCAGGACTGGGGGCAGCTTTGTAAACCAGCGCTGGAATAGAGATGCAACAGGCTCAGATGCACGGATGCTAATTATAAACCACCTTTTTTTCATTAACAATGTTCTCCACATACAAGCAGGAAAAACAATTACTTGGATCCCATTTCACATCAGACCCAGAAAAAGAGGAATCGCTATTTGAGTTCAGCAAATTTGATTGTATGGTTTGGGTGAAAAATCAGTATATTTTCAAGAGAGTAAAGGCCTCCCACAAACCACCTGCTAAGCAGGAAGCAGATGTACAGAACTTCAACTGATTGGCAGCAGCGTTTCTCAACCTGGGCCACTTTAAGACAGGTGGACTTCAACTCCCAGAATTCACCAGCCAGCACAGCATATACGAGTTGAAGTCCACCCATCTTAAAAGTGGCCCAGGTTGAGAAACACTGAATTAGAATTGCACGCTGCAAATGGATGGGCCAAGACGCTTTTTAGGAAGAGCTGGAAGTTTTAGGGGGCAAACTTGGTACTCCCCATTCCCACTTTCTTTCCACACCCCTTAAAATATAGTTAAAAAGCCGAAGGTCACCAGGCTCATCCATTCTGGAGGATTGCAAAAGTGGAGAGGGATGTTTGCAACCTGCTACACAGGTGCTCCAGAGCCAACTCCTGTCCCAATACTATTTTCTAATTTTTACAAAACCATTTCAAACTGAACATGGGATGAGAACAGTTTCTCTGCAATTCTACAAGCCCTATTGGAAAAACCCCTGCCACGAACTCCAGCTTTTTAATAGACCCAGATGGGCTCCTCATGATTAAAACTGCACCTCCCCTTGGAAGCTATTTGTGGCTAGTCTGTTCTAAGAAGGTGCTGTAACATTTACTCTTTCCATTGTATCTGGGAGAACCTCCCCAAGTTCCTGAAGAAGAAATGAAATGAGTGCTTAACTAAACCAGCCAACTATTTTCAAAGTTTCCCAGGGCAGCTGGAGCCCTTCAGATTCCCCTGGATACCCAGGTGGAAGCTGAATTATTACGCTTCTTCCCACAGTGACCGTGGGAAGGCTTCCTTGGGTGAAGGCCTATGGAGTTTCTCAGCCATCCAGGTCAGGGTTGCCTCAAAGGTGCTTTTTCAAAAGGCAACTGGAAGTTCTTCATTTTTTCTTTGAGATTGTTTCGCTTCCCCATCCAAGAAGTTTCATCAGTTTTGGCTGGAAGGTGAGATCCTGTCCAGTTGACGTTTCTTGGATGCTTTAAACGTTCTCCATATATATGGTCTTCGGACCACAGAAACTGAACTACAATGCTTTGGTTAACATCTCCTAGGCAGATTTAGAAAGTGTGCAAATCCTGAATTCTTTTATTTTCTCTACACCAGTGTAGAAGCCTGGAATTCAACTCCCAGAATTCCTCAGCCAGCCGTAGGAACTGCAGGAAGCAAACGAGGATAGTTCTGAACAGATTTCAAGTATATCAGATGCAAGCAACATGATCACTTTAGGATTTGTTAAGTTAAGATCAGTAGATGATTTTTGGAGAGTGAAAAAAAAAAAGAGTGCCACATATACCCAGATACAAGACAAAGTTATAGACAGAAAAAGCATACCATTAAATCAAAAACTGTAGTTTTATCCCCCGAAAATACGGAGGCACTGGCTCTTTCCTACAGGCAGGCTTCAACAGAAAGAAAAATATTTTTATCACACTCGCACTCCAGACTCAATGCATGAAATATAAAGGTCATACACTGCATGCCGCTAAGTCATTCCACAACATTCCCTCAACTCCAGCCTGCACTCGTACATCATATTCTATGTTTTCAAGTTGGTAACTATCAAGTCTGTTCTGGCTCCCTGTGAGTTGTATAAATGCCACAACACTAACCTCTTGTGTATAGGTCACCGTCTGCTTGGAAGGGTCTGACTCGCTCTCCTTCTCCACCATGGCTCCTTCCAAGCATTCATGCAAATTCTTGTAGCCGTTAACCTGCAGGGGATACTGGCCAAAGGTCTCGATTTTGGAAAACCTCTTGCCTAAATAGGGGAGGGGGGGGGACACCCATCAGTTTAAGGAGAACAAAACCAAATCCCAAACAGATTGTCTTTTTAAGTGTGGTAGAAAAACACCGAAGGAGCCAGCAACAGCGCTGAGAAGACTTCCATGACAATTTGCAAGGTCTTCCAGCTTACCTTTGTGAACCCCTTCAGTTAGAAAAGTCCCATAAAAAAGTTGAACCATGGGGTTCTCCGATTTGTCCTGGGAATTCCTGTCACAGAAGGAGAAAGCAAGGGAACATGAATTGGGTATGCCTAGTTTCATGAAAAGGACGAGCCGGGGTGACACAACAGCAGCGTTTCAATATTTGAGGGGCCCCCATGAAGAAGAGGGGGTCAACCTCCAAAGGACCTGAGAGCAGGACAAGAAGTAACAAAGGGAAGCTTATTAAGGAGAGTTCCAACCTAGAATTATGGAGAAATTTCCTGACAGAACAATTAATCAATGGAACGACTTGCCTCCTGATATTGTGGGTGCTCCAACACTGGACAAGAGACTGGACAAACATTTGTCTGAAATGGTATAGGGTTTCTTGTCTGAGCAGGGGTTGGACTAGGAGACCTCTAAGGTCCTTTCCAACTGTTATTCTGAAAGCAAACTCACCATTTTTCTAAAAAACAGGTTGACAAGGCTAATCGCCAAGGCAACTTGTTTAGAAGCTAAGCAATGCGCTTTCCCCATGTTTGGCTTTTGGAGGATTCATCTGGATCTCACCAAGCTTGGGTGGCAGATGGGAGCTCAGGATGCAATATGCTTTTCCCTTCAAGGAGTCCCCCATTTCTATGAGAAGCCCTCATAGAGGAGCAGACTCAAACCCTTCTCCCCACATATGGGCTTCCTATAGGCAGAGAGCTGCCGGTTACAACCAGGAATTCAGCCAGAGCTCAACCATTCCTGGGAGGTCCTAAACAGCCATACATGATGGGATGTTGTGTCAATTCACTAAAATGTACAGTGCTTAGTCATAGTGAGTCCGGCTGTGAAACCTGAGACCTCAGGAATTTTAAGAGTTCACTTGGTTACAAGCCAACTGTATTGGAACTCATGATCCCTGATAATTTAACTCAGGTGCTCGGAACAGGTCAAGTTACTTGAAGTCAGAAATATACTTTTACATCATTCAGGTTCACCCACAGGCCCACCCAGCCCCCTGACACTTTGCTGTAGCAGAGAGAATCACACCACCGTACAAAGTGGAAAACAAACAGGCATTGGTTTTGGTTTTTTTAATCTTCTTTGCGGCAAATTCTGGCAATTGGGCAGCTTCACAAAATGATCACCGAAGCTCCTTCAGACTCACTCAACTTCCACTGTCAGCTGGAAAGCATCTTCAAGCCAGTCCAGGAGTTTGTGGGTGAACTCGCTCACATCTTGCTAAAAAGGAGACAGAGGGAACATCAAATGTTACTTTGTGGAGACGTTTACTCTGAACAGTTTTCTTACGTTTTTACGTAACCTTGGATGACTTTAATTTTTAATTTTAAAATGGCTTTAAATTTATAATGTTTCTGTATGTTAGAGTTGTGAACTGCCTTCAAGTTAAATCTCTGCAGGCTGGGAAATTTTGGGTGTTGAAGTTCAAACATCTTAAAGTCAGCCAGGTTGAGAAACACTGCTGTACAGCATAGTCCAAGTGTGATCCTGGGCCAAGCGGCCGCCCAGGCCTGGGAAGACCTTCACCTGTTGCTCCTCGGGAGACCTGAATGCCCCTTTCAGAAGTTCAAGGGCGGTCGCTGGGTCTACAAATTTGCGGCGTGTTCCCAGCATTAAAGCAAAGAGATATTGGAGTTCCTGCATGAATGCAATGTTCCTTTTTTCCTGCAAAACAACAAGAGGTGCCATAAACAAGCAGAGAAACAACAAGCCAAGAATGGGTATTAGATCAGCAGAAGTTGTATCTGCTGGAGTGACTGGTGGCGCACAATTCACACAACCCGAATTCCGTTTATAAACCATCTAAGCCAAAACTAACTAGGGCACATTATGGATTAGTATGGGCTGGCTTTGCAGCCAAGAGGAAAGGGACTGGCATCACCATGCTCCCTTCTAGTTAAAACCTGGGCTATTCAACAGCACCCCAACCTGTTTATTTTCTCCAAATTTTCCATCAATAAAAATTCAAGAGAAAGCCTTTATGGGGTGGCCAGCAACCCCAGCATCGTCTCTCTAGATCAGAGTTCATGACCACACATCGTTGTCAAGTTGGTTTTAAAGATATTTGGGATAATTTAATCAAAAGGTAAACTGTAGTAAAAAAGCCAAAACAAGTAGCAATGGTATTCCAACATATGGAAAGCCTTAGAGGCCCAGACTGTGATTAGAGTGACAGTCAAAAGACTGAAAAGGTTTGAAATTTGCTAGAGAAAACAAAAATTGGAGACTCCTGATAAATCATGCCATCGAATCACAGAAAGCTTGGCACAACTTTTGTGTTTTGGATTCTGAACACAGGAGAGTCCTTAAATTTTTTGGAAAAATCAGAAACCCTCTTTCATCTTTAACTATCTCCCACCCCTGCAGGTTGTCAGTGTTCAGCTAGCCCTGTTGTAACAACAAGGAAGTTCCCTTCCTGTCACCCAGGAATCACTTACATTTCGGCTGCGGCAGTTGTCAAGGATGGCTTCTGGCAGGGAATAGTTGAGCACCAGGTGCCGGAATTCTGGCAGCTGGAAGAGAGACTGACAACCCCCCTGAAATTAACCTTCTGCTCCTCAGGTGATTGTATGTTGAGTCTACACGCTCCATTAAGCGAGTTAAAGCCCAGCCCAGTGACAGAGAGCAGGAAGGGAAACCTGAACTAATTAGCTCTTACATCAACTGAAGAAAAATAGTGGTTAATTAGGGAAGTGGTGCTTAATCTCAGCCACTTCAACCAGGTGGATTTCAACTCCCAGAATTCCGTGGCCCACTGAAGTCCACTCACCTTAAAGTGGCTGAGCAAGAGTTTGATGGAGCCCCATTCCAGCAGAGACCCAGAAAAGCATCAGCACCCCAAATTACCTGTATGACTGCACTGAACCAGCAGGTGTTTCCAATGTTCTTCATCCCAACTGGCCATCCGCTGACCCGCCGCCAGTCACGCTGAGTGGTGTTCTCTCCCCAAACTTCACAGCGTTTCCTTTTGGAACGGTTTTTGTTTTCGGCTACGCTCAGCTCACGGGCTCTGCCAGAAACAGAAACAGCAGCAACTGCAAGGAGGTCTTTTTGGCTAGAAGCAATTAGCCATCTTCACTAATTCATCTATCTTGATAAGGTGCTACAAAACAACATGCAATCCCCGAAGGATAATTGTCATCCCTCTTTCAGTAGACTTTGGCCCTCAAGAAAAGCCTGTTCTGCTAGGAACATAGATTATTCTAGTCAGCTGGACATTTGCTGAAAATGGAAAACTTTGATTGGAATAGATTTGGCCACGTTTCTCTTGTGAGGATCGGGAGCATGCAAACGCAGCAGCGACCTCGATAGGGGCAGAGTGGGACAAGGCTGCTGGAGAGAAAGGAGCGTGGGAGATTTTCCCACAGGAAAAATGTGAGAAACAAAACAATGGCATACGCATTCATTGTTGCAGCAAAATCCTTCTTCCCAGTTGAGAAATCTTGGCCATCTGAAGAAGCGGGTTCCTGAAGATCAGCATCCTCTTGGGGGCTCTCATCCTGAGCTGGAAATCAAGAGAGGAACCAATATTAGTCATCAGTGCAGTTCAAATGCTCCGTCTCCCCACCCAAAGAAGCCATTTAATAGCAAAGCTCTCATCCAGAGAGGCAGAGAGAGATCAGAAGGCACCACTGGCCCTTTGTGATCTGCTGACATCTTACCAGCTTGCTTGGCTCTTCGCGTCATCCTCACCCTCAGAACAAGAGTGACTCAACGCAGCCTAGCCACGATGACGGAGATTTCTGAGAACTGTTTTTTTCCACTATATCCCACAAGCGCTAGCTGGGGCTTAGCAAGAGAGCTGAAAGGCCCTTTCTGGTCTCTGGTTCTATTTATAAAGACTCCGTCCCAGAGGGACAGAATGTGTTGTGTAGATTTTCACAGTCTGCACACAGCCTCCCTTGGAAAATTTAATGCTCGCGGGCTGGGAAAAGTCTATGAAGAAAAGTAAGGGCTCACCAATGGCCTGTCTTTCCCTTCCCTCACAGTTGGAAGCAGTGGGGGCTCCCTCTGACTCTCGGTCACTGACTTCTGTGAGGAAGCCAACCGCCTGCATAAGGTTTCCATCTGCAGCCTGAGGAGAAACAAAGGTGGCAGAAGGGGACATTCTCCTCCTCTACAGCAGTGTTTCTCAAATTTGGCAACTTTAAGATGTGTGGACTTCAACTCCTAGAATTTGCTGGCCGGGGAATTCTGGGAGTTGAAGTCTACACTTCTTAAAGTTGAAGTGCACATATATTAAGTTGCCAAGGTTGAGAAGCACTGCTCTAGAGGATTTTTTGTTAAACTTATTGCCCTGGTTTATAGCTAGAGCAAGACAACTTTAAGGAAGACGAAAAAGTATATTTAAAATTGGATGCTCAATTTCATGTACCATGGGGGAACAGTCCATGCACACTCCAGACCAGACAGCACTGGCTGCGAATCACAGGAGCAGAAGCAGAGCAGAGCTGCATGTTGGAGAAGGAATGTGGACAGCTGTCCAAATGCCACTGTTTGTCGAGGCTGGGAGCAACCCCTCCGGGAGAGCGGGGCTGCCCGTTTTGGATTTCAAGGGCCAAAACAAGCAGAGAAGCAGTTGGAAACAGAGTGGATGGCGATGCAATGGTGGCATGTGGGGGGGGGGTCTGCCTTCCAGAACCCACTTTAAACTAATTTCAAGGCAGACCATCCAATGCCCTCTTAACGGGGAGCAGGTTAAGGATTCCATTTCAGCAAAGGGGACTAACCTTCAGTGCCGCCCGGAGGAACTGCGGATTGTGGATGCCCGTGATCTCTTTCAGCTGGCTTAGGAGCAAACTGCAGGTCTGGGTTAAAATGGGAGAGAGAGGGTGTTATCAGAAAGGGAAGAGGCAGACAGCAGGCCTGTAACAAAAACAAGAAAACATGAAAGCACCTTTTTTAAAAAAATAGATTGGTAGACCTTTCCAAGAGCCAATGGTCTGAACAAAGGCTTTTGTTTATTTAATTCTGGGCTACTCGCTACTGCAACCAATAAAAACTAATAAAACGGCCCCACATTATACAGAAGAAGTCACCAGACTCCCAACCCTATCACCTTTGCATCGATACTACTTATGTTGTCAGGAACATGGTTACTCTCGATTAGCAGGTGCCCCTATTCTTGTGACATCACCAGCACATAGCCAAAGTCCCCGCAAAAGTAAGACAAATGCCATTTAAATGGATTAAGTAAACAAAATTCTTTGAAGAAAGCCCTGTCTCTCTTTTAGTAAGATCCTCCTAGCCTGATACACCTGGCTTGGCTAAAAATAATTCCATGCTGAATGTTTTGAGTCTCCTTTACAGAAAAATCCAAACATCCCAACTGAGATGGCTACTTATCTTCAGGAGACCAAAACACACAACCTGAGCATCTTTTCAAGGCCAACAAGTGTTCATAAAACAAAGCACCATCTTCCGGTTTCTTTTTCAAGGCAAGTTAGAACTTTATTATTTGGAAGGAAAAAGAACAGAGCTGTTATCTGAGAAACACCAGCCCAAAGGCCCTTTTCTCCCCCAAATCTGGGAGCAGAGTATTTATTCTACCCACAACACTGGCAGATGCTGCACACAGACATACAAGGAGCCCAAAGAATGCGCAGAGCTTTGGGGAGAAGCTATTTTAAGCTGGCTGCGCATGCCATCGCGGCTGGTCACTTCTCATTTACAACAAGGTGTTGGATATGCAGCCCGCTGAAAATGGCACTCTAACCAGCAAATTGGCATTTGCACAAACCAGTTTAAAAGAAAATGTTAAGAGGTACCGGGAAGCAGACCAGAGTTTAGGGAGTAATAGCAGAGCAGCATCTAAGTTAGGTTCAAATCGACCAAATTCCAGATTACATTTCAAAGAGGTCCTAAATTCCTGTTCAGCTTTTGCTGAAGCTTTTCTTAAAAAAAGAAATGAGCAACCACATTCCGTTACTTTCCAAAGTCCCATTAGAGAAAAAACGGAGAAAATTCTTATTGATGCTTGGCCTAGCATCAACATTATGCCTACATATTTGCTAAAAAACTTATCTTTAGAGAACACAGATTTCAAAAAAACAAAGGCTCAAAAGCAGAGAGAATTCCAACAAACACAACTGTGAGGATCCTCTATCTCAGCTACTGGCAATAACAGCTACTTGTTCTATTAAGAAATTTTGTAACTAATTATCTGACCTGTAATTTTAATTTTTAATATCTGAGGAACTCTAACTTCAGAGTGTTGTATGGTATTTTCAGAGTATGATTATCCCAAGAATTCCTTGGAAGTATATGGTTAGATGACTCAAATAAAATCTACAAGCAAAAATAGCTAACCACAGAGAGCAATTCTTGGAAATATGGCAATCGGACTGAGTGGGTGACACAAGTTAGGCTAAACTGTATTTATCCTGGGAGCTCGAAGTGATAAAATTTGCAATTTTTAGCAGGCCCTGCAATTCCAGGAAGCATTTGATTAATGTAGGACTCCCAAGCAAGATTATTTTGTTATCCTACCCAAATATTAACATCCCATCAGTTTTAATCATTTACAAAATACCATAGGGGCACAGTATACATTGGATCCACGTTACTGGCTTTGATATTGTTTGGAGACCCATTTCTATAAGACTAGGAAGACCATCATCCTGCAGAGGCACCAGGGATCTGCCAGAGTTCTCTCTGGTCCTGTGGAAATAATCATTTATCATTATAAGGCTTGACCCCCCCCAGAGATATCTTGCTCCCTGCTTTGCCATGTTTGTCAAATTTAAGTCAATTTAAATGTTAAAAGTTATTATTCTAATATTTTAATATTTCCTCTCATTTTTTCCTTGTTGTAAACCGCCTAGAGTTATCTCTAGGTGAAATGAGCAGCACACACATTAAATTATAACAAGACTTGATTAAATTTTGTATTGGGTCCGGGTCGGTACAAAAAGTGTCCAATCCCCTTAAGACTGCTTCTCCCAGCTCTGGACCCAGGCAACCAAGGGTAAACTAACGCAACTGCCTTCCTGGGCAGGTAGCAGCTCCCTCATCACACCTTGGCGACTGCAACTTTTTGTCAACAAGGATGAGCTGGGAAGGTCTTTTTGTCTTCGGCACCAAAGTTGGAATTTAAAGGGGCTTATGCAACAAGCAGGCCGGGCAGCTCCTGGTGGGCTGGTGGATGAGGGTCGCAAAAGAGGGCAAGAGGGAAAATATTCGGGGGGGGGCTCTTACTTTCCGAGGAGGGGTCTCCAGCCTGGCTGGACTGGAGAGGCGAGGAGAGGTGTGTCCTCCAAGGGGACCTAAGGGAGACCCCCTGCAGGGGACGCCCCCCGGCCCGCCCCCCCCCGCCATCAGGTGCTTCCCCCACCAGAGCGGGGTCCCGGGGGGGGGAGAGGAAGCACGAGGCTGCTTAAGGGGAGGGGGCGCGCCTTGCCCCGCAGAGAGATCCTCCACACACAGCCCCGAGGGGGAAAGGCCCGTGGGGGGCCTTCTGGTCGGGGGGGCGGCCGAGGGAGGCGGGGAGCCGAGGTCCCGGCCCACCTGGCGGGGCTGTTGTGGGAAAGGTCGGGCGGGGGTCGCTGCCTCACCTGCGCTGGCCCTCCGGCCGCGGCCCGTTCGTCCTGGCCCTGCAGCTGTTGCACCTCGGCCGTCATTCTCCTTCCGGCCCTTCGCCCGCCGGACAGCCCGCCAGACCCGACGCGGCCCAGAGGGAGCTGCCGCTCCGCCCCTTTAACGGACGCCCACCGGCCCCGCCCACCCGCTAGCGGAGAAGACGGCGGCGCCGATTGGTCCGGGCCGGCCGCGCCCCCTCCCGGGCTCCGCCCTCGCGGAGGCTCTTGCCTTCGCCCCCCCCAGGAGACCTTCACAGCCCCGCCCACTGCCGTTCGCCAGGCCAGCGCAGCCGCCCCCCGAAAGGCGCCGGGCAGGTCGAGGGGCGCCGACGGGTGGAGGGGAGGTCACGTGACGCCGGTGGGCGAGGTCCTCGGGAGCGCGGGAAAACGCGGGGCTCTGAGATCCAATCAGGAGCGGGGGCGTTTCCCGTTGAGGCGCTCCTCCTCCTCTTCCGAACTTCGAAGCAGGCCGAAGACCAACCGGTCGAGAGCGCAGCTTCGCCCCTTTTCAACTTTTTCAACTTCTATCACCCCGCTTGGGCTGCACCCCTAGACGAGGCTGGTCTCCAGGCCCCCTTCTCCCGCTGTGGAGCGCAGGGAGAAAGTCCCCTGGGTCCCAAGCAGCCAGTCGGGGGAAAAGACACCACGGGGTGATCCGACGTGTGCCTCTGACTGTAGTGAGGCTGGGGGAGCCACGGACGGGCGCGGGGCTTTGCAGGGGTGAGATGGATGACCTCCCTGCCCTCTCGGTTCGGCCTTGACCTCGTGCTTCTCGGGGCGCCCCGGGGCGCCCGCCCAGCCGGGAGGATCGAGAACCACTCCGGTTGGCCGCTGCGATGCCAGAAGAAGCGGCTCCCCGAAGGACCGCCGAGCCCCTCGCTGACAGCTGCCCCTGCTCGACCTGCCTCGGCCCGCCTCGCCCTTCAGAAAAGCCGCTCTTTTGCAGGGGGGTGCGAAGGGGCCTCCGACGTCATCCAACCCACCCTCGGCCTGGTAGACTGCATCGTGCTTAAGCGCTTCTGGATCGGGGACGGCAACCGCGTCGCCCGTTCCCGTCGCCCGGCTTTCTCTTCCGTCTTGCGGGCGAGGCAGAATTAGTACTGGGCTCACTAATCCTGCGATTTTCCGGCCAAAAAAGCAACGCCGGGAGACCCGCTCGGTTCTCCCAGGACGGTGGACTACCGCCCACCGGCTATAGGACTTAACCGGCAGGACTTCTGCCCTGGTTGGCTGCAGCGAATCTAGGAGAACATTTGTGCGGATCTCATGGAAGCATCGCCTAGGTAGGATAAACATCGCCTAGGACCCCGGCCTAAATATTCCCAAAGGAGAATTGCAAATAGGGCCTTCCCTCTCTTGAGTGGCGCGTCTTCAGCCATTGACCCGGAGAAATGCCCTGGCATTTTGCATCATTCAGACCCCAACCCATTAAAATAATAAAAAAATATAAAATTCAGGCCCTGCATTGGAATGAGGTTTCCAAAGGAAACCCAAATCAATCCCAGTTCTCTGAACCTGCCTGTTTTGTACCCCCAAGCAGAGAAGAGCAGGCTTGAGCCACTCCCCTCCCCAGGTTTGCCAAAGAGTTAATATATCTTTGGAACCAGCCCCCCCCCTCAAAAGAAAAAAGACAACAGGCTTCATTTTGTGGAAAGTTTGGTGGGAGGATTGGTGTGCATATTCACACATGCACAAAGCATAGGACAAACGGAACAGAAGAATCGGAACAACATGCACATTAAGAAGAAAATTATGCTAATGCACTGATTTTCCTGGTGTGTGTGTGTGTGTATTTACCTTGTTGGCTTCCGAGCAGGGGCAACCTACAAGCCATGTAAATCAGCAAATATCTCCTGGCAGGTCCCACTTGGCATGTTTGCAGCGCCCCACTTGGGGAGCTGTTGATGCTGCTTCTGTTAGCAATAATCCAACCTAATCCTCCTTGCTGGGGAGGGGGAGGCCTTGTCACCCACCTCTCCCTCCCCGCTCCCCCCTCTTCTCCTGTCCAGATGTGGCATGAAGAGAAAGGGGGAAGCTCGCTTGCTTTCCTCCCCTCTCCCTAAATTTGTACATCTGTCATCATTCCCGTCATTTTCAGCTCCACTGCCAAGGGAAGGAACAAAGGAAGCTGGTGATTAACTTCAAAGAACTTTGTTGGAGAGGAATAAAGATATTTAGGGCCTATTTTGCGAACTAATTGCATTTGCATATTTATGGGATTTACTGATATAGCAGTAATTAAAAACTATTTAGTAGTCTTAAAGGACACATAACTCAGTTGCTGTTTGCATAATAAACACATCCCTTATTACGTTTATTATGTTTGCATAATAAACCTTTCACATCTCGATAATTCAGAGGGCCATTCCGGAGAGGCCGTGCCTAGATTGGCGGCTTTCCGAGCGAGCGGAACTGGGGCACAGCGAAGAAGGAAAAAAGCCCAAGTTCACATTGGTGGCATCTCCTCCCTGCTAGGAGGAGGGAGAGGGAGATTTTCAGCCCCCTTCTTCCTGTTCTTCGCAAGAAATGATCATGGGATTGTCTCTTCCTGCAGCTCCCCCCCCCCAATTCACCCAGCAGTCTCAGGTCTCTTCAGGATGCAGAGGCTGAGCTGGCCCTAAAAGTCTTTATTATTTTTTTCCAACAAATAAAGATGCATTTTGGAGATCTGTTAGTCTGGGCTTGATGGAAATTCTCACATCCAAAGCGATCTGTTTCTGCCAAACGCAGCTTCTGTCTCCTGGTGGACTCTTTGAGTTTTATAGCCCAACGGAGCAGCAGAAGGCGCTATCTGTCTGTGGAGATGATCAGTCATCTGGGTCATGGTGATCCCAAAGGTGCTTTTTCAAAAGGCAACTGGACTTCCTTTGTTTTTTTCTCCTGAAGACGTTTCGCTTCTCACTCAAGAAGCCTCTTCAGTTCTGACCGAAAGGTGGAAAATGGAAAGATTTATGACAGCAAGGAGTGTAAATCCTTCCATTTCCCGACCCTTCAGTCAGAACTGAAGAAGCCTCTTGGATGAGAAGCAAAACATCTTCAAGAGAAAAAAACAGTCCAGTTGCCTTTTGAAAAAGCACCTTTGGGACCATTTGGACATGCTCAGGAACCTCATGACTTGGTTCACAATACAGCTGGAAGTGGATGGGACCAGCTGTTAGCAAATAATTTGCTTGTGCTTCTCAATTCCAGGTCCATCCCCCTGCACAATTTGATATGCTTGGGTAACTGGGCATCTCTTACATTCCTTGCTGTACCAGTTTGTTGTCGCGCTGGAAAGTACCCATCTCCGGCTTCCTTCCATCAGTTCCTCACCATCAGCACTGGAGCTGCTGGGATGGAGCCCAAACGGCATCCTTCATGAAAAGTGGGGAGAGTCAGCCAGCCCAGCATGTGATGGCGAGAACATCTCATTTACGGTTTCCTGCTGGGACTCTTGTGCTTCAGCAGCTCATCAAAAGAGCCATCAGAAGTGCGGCGAGCAAGCGAAAGCCAGCCAGCGCCAGCGTGTGAGATTTTGCTCACACATGTTGGCAATTTGCTGCGGCAATGCTGGTTCCCGAGGGCTTTTCCGGCATGGGCAGCAAAAACAAAGAGAATCTTTTTGCAGTTCCGAGGGGCTCCTCGGGAAAGTGTCACTTGTAATTTGGGGCCTCTGTGTCACCCTGTGTGGCCTGCTGGGATATTTTCCTCCGTCGCCCATTTTGGGGACTGCAATGGTAGCCGGTTTGCCTAGAAAAGGAGAAGGGAAGGGATGGAAGCACCTGCATGCAGGATCCAGACAAAATCTCATTAGCTCTCAACCCACAGGGGTTTCTGGGTTCACTAATTCCCGTCTCACATTCACTTCCTTAGCTGAGATTCCCTGAGTGAGATCTGCAGAAGGGAAACCCTATTAGCAGGCAGCTGAGTCTATTATCACCACCATGACCCCCCTCCCCCAACTGGTGAGAGAGGCAGGTGGGGAACTCTCAGGGGAGAGCTGTCTGAGGAGGAGGCTCAGCCCAGGTTAGGTAGGACCACACCTGGCTCATCTGCCCACCAAGGCCATGAACTGATGCCCATTCTGCCCCACTGCCCACCTGAGCCCTTGGCGGCCCCCTCCATAAGAAAGCTGGGTCCTTCCAAGTAAGGGTGCACGAGATGGCGCCCTTCGTTACTGTACATCGGCTAAGATCCAAAGGGCCATTAAGGATCCACCAGGATAAGTTCTCATTGGCTCAACAAAGCAGCTCCTCTGTAAATGACAATCGGAAATTTTTTGTCCAGAATGTTCCATTGTTGTGAGGAAATAGAATGGAAAAGTTTCAGTAGTTCTAAGAGTAGCTTTTTTGTCTGGATCCAGAGCGGATTCCCTTTAAAAAGAGCGTGTTTCAGGCTCTCGTTTCTCTGGACTCGGATCGCCTGATACTCTGGGGTCCCTCGTAGCCAAGTAAGGTTGCCCTAAAAGACCTTCTGCAGGAACCTGGTGGAGGTCTTCTCAGGTGGGACAGATGGACCCTGGGCTGGCTCCCAATAATAGAACGGCTTCCAATAATTCATGGGGGACAGCTACCGCATCTTTTGTTGGGGCAGGAGAAGAGCAGGCTGAGCTGGGATCGGAGTTAAGAGTTAACCATCATTAGCCCAGAATCATTACGTCCCCACAAAGGTTTAAGTCAAACCCTCTTGAATTCTGTTGACCCTTATCTGGCACCAATTGAGTACTGAACTTGACCTGACTAGATTCTTCTGTGGAGGCTTGAGCAATAAATCTTCTGAACTGCAACTTTTGGTCCTGTTCCTTTGCACCTGATAGTTCAAGGCCCATCTGCAATGGCCACAAGGTGGGAATACAGCAAGCAGGAGGGACGGCCTTTGCTCCTGGGGCCTCACTTACTCAATGGGGGTCTCCGTGTGTCCTGGAAAAGCAGCAGCCTCCGAAGACACGGCAGCCGAGGACAGCAGGTGCAGCCATTAATCGAGGCAGCCTTTGGCAGCCATCGCTGCGCCTAAAGCTCTCTCGCTCCGTCTTGGCGGCTTCCTTTGTTGATCTTTTGCCTCCTGTTTTATGCCCATAAAAGGGGGGATCAATCTGACGCTCTCCCGTTCTTAGGAGGGCCTTGGGGAAATCTGATTAGACGGATAATCTAGTCAA